GAGGACCAGAGCGTGCACCGGACCACTCTAATCCAAACGGACACTGACAATCCGGACAACGAGGTCATCTCCCTGGAGACCAATCTGCCCACCGAGATCACCGTCGTGCACAGCGAGGACACGGGCGAGTGTTCCTCTCTGCTCATGACTTTCTTCACCGACAAGGGCTCGCGTCACGTGATGGTGCCCCGTGACGTCATCATTCACAAGCCCGACGAGCCGCCGTTCCGCAGGGTCAAGGTCGTGTTTACGCCCGATGAGACGGAGGGGGCGGATAAGGTTACCATTCATAAGTTTTACTGAAGGAGGGGTGTTTGGGCTGTGGTGGAATGGTGAGTCATATTGAAGAACCGGTATTAGGTGTAGGTTAGTGGTGCATTGAGAAAACTGATGTGCAGAAGGCTGTGGTCCGTGCGGTGTAGTCGGAAGGCCGGTGTAAAAAGTCGGAGGATATGGTGAGAAAGTGAGAAGTGGTGTGTGAGCTGTGCATATGTAACATAAAGTTGCGTCATGAGTACGGCAGCCTCTAGATTGAGATGGCACCTAGAGGGAGATGACATCTTGCATTACGCTTTTGCGCATACAAAATATGTGATTGAGTTCGTCCGACGTCAAAAATGGATTGGATGTTGACATTTTGATCGGAGTTGATCTGTATTCAATTCGTTTGTTACGTTCCGTTCGTATGTGTTCTTTATTGGTTCATGAACGCGCTCCGCTAAATTTCAACTTTGTGCTTCTGTTTTGGCTCGATGATTGCTTGATGTGAAAGCTTGTGCTGGTGTTGTATTTTATGTATTTCTGTTCTGCTCGAGGATTTTTTTATGTGAGCTGATGTATTGACCCCACTGCCCACTGATGGTGACGATCTTGGGCATTCGCTGTGAGTGACCCATAGAAAAATACATCTATGCTGGGACATTGATTATGTTCATAGCTGACGCATTGACAACAATCCCGAATTGCAGATACGTGCAGCAACTTTCGATGCATGGATTACCGTATACTTCTTTTTTGAATGCCGCATGGTTCAATATAAGGCATGGCCACTGGCCACATCCCGTAGGTAACCAGGTAATCTGGAAACGTGCATAAAAGTATTTGTCACGGATACTACAGGAGCCTTATTTGCTCATGTATTACCTCTTTTTTTAAATGAACTCTCCTCTCTCATTTTTGCTTACTGCTATCCTCAGACATTGCTTCTATCAGATATTTTACTGCTGGGCATCTGGATGATTTATAACCGTAGAAAGAGGGAGCTGTCCAGACCAGTGTCCAATTCATTTTGTTATACGAGACTTGGGCCGGTTACATTTTTGAACGATTATTTGAACGTTTTTAGAAATAGGAGTTCCATTTCACATAAAAAGCTTTGAAGTCCGTAGTCTTGCATTGCAAGGTGTATTTATTGTGTAACCCATGTAAGGCATATGCCTCGTATTTTCCGGTAAAAAAAGTCTTGCATCTGGCATCATTATTTCTTCATCTGGAAGCAAACATTTGCATTGCGTTTGTTTGACGCGGTAAACGTCGTAAACGTCTCCAGCCTTCACGTGGTTTTCGAACTACGCGGAATTACGCACTTGCTTGTAAATGAGAGGTAAATCTTGCGTCATGAGACTTGACGAACGGCCGAACAACCCCAAATGTATTTGTCAGTTTAGATAGTATTTGTTATAAATATTTATGGAAATAATGTTTTGCTGAGTGTTACGTTTCATATATTTTATATTCACATCAAATCTTTAAAAATAAGCTGCTATGACCGCATTCTCATTGGTTGAGTGCTATGACGTAACAGAACCATACATTTTTTCCTAGACATCCCACCACTACTTATGTCTGCTTCCGGCCGAATTCATTTTGGTTTTGGTTTCAGACACCGCGCGGTAATTTGGTGCGAGTTTTGGATTAATTTGAATTGCAATTTTGCTACGCGAGGTTTTCTGTGTATCTTCACTGCCTTATAGTCTACCGAACTCATTTATTCGTAGATTGTGCGGAGGTAAGCATGCCGGATTTTTGTTTTGGCAATTTTGCTTTAGCCCTGCGTCCTTTTTTTGTTTTTTCGGTCTCATCCTGCTCAAAATGTCACTGGAAGCGTCAGTTGTGTGAAGTACTTGCTAGTTTGCCTTGCATGGATAATAATTTTGCAAAGCGAGGGTCAGAACTTTCCTTGACTTTGAGACGATAGGTACACTGTACACACTGCACACTGACATTCGCCACTGAATCAGTGTCGATTATTCGGTAATTTAGTGCCTAGGTATTCGGCACCCGTGATCTGTGATCACTGAATCTCCTTTGGAATCTGCTAGATTCAGTGATACATGATTCATGCCACTTTTGGCGATAGCTATAGTCAGGGAAACTTTTGAGGGGGGGGGGAAGGGGAATTTCCCCCCTTCGAAAATTCCGCTCCCCCTTTCAAATTGTGCGTGAACGGCTAGGGAGGGAAGGGGGAATTTCCCCCTTTCAAATTCATTTTTGAGCCCATTTTCAATCAATTCGCTACTCAGATTCTATAATCATCGTTGATCAGCCTCTAGTCATTAATCAACGTTGCTGGCGCTTAGATAATTTTCAATTTCAGGTCCCATCCAACCATTTTACGTTCAGTGCAGCGAGAACTCCAAATTTGACCCGATACCGATCGGATGGTCGGTGGGACCGTCTCTTGTCTTGTCTCTTCCGTCTCTTCGCAATCACTGACATATCGCTACAGGCGTCGGCGTAGAAACCGGCGTGGGACGGGGGTCATGACCCCTCCGAACCAAGGGTCTTCCTTCGAACCAGGGTCCTTCAATCGGTCTTGGCCTAGCAAAAATAGTCACGTGTTAACCTCTCTCTATTTAGAAAGGCGCTACTTGATGTTTGGCCAGGGTAATAGGTTGATACTACTGATTGACGTTTGCAAGGGCGCAGTCAAGTTGGGACCTCCCCCGCCCCTTACCGCCAAGTTAGGTACCTACGTATATTTTTCAGCTTATTTGTTTTTTTTTTTTTTGGCAACCTAACAATATAAAGCGGCCAGAATCCGGGGAGAGAGTAGGATTTGGGGGTAGGTAAGGTTCTGCAGGCACCATCCTGCCCCTAACAAAAACCTAATGGCATTAGGCCTCCCTTTCAGATGCCCCTGGATCCGCCCTTGCCCGGAACTTTCAGTGGCGGATCCAGGGGGGGGGGCAAAATGGGCATTTGCCCCCCCCCCAAACGGCATAATTTTAACATTACGCCTATGGACGATGCATGGAAAGAATCGATAAATTGTTATGGTTTGCCCCCCCCCCCCAAACCTCTGAGCTGGATCCGCCTCTGCGAACTTTATCCCCCCTCTCGACTTTTCCTGTAAAAGTAACCCTGGCTATAGTCCGTTGAGATAGAATGTATCTACCTACTTATTAAAAAAAAAATGTCCTTGGAAAGTGAAAACCACGTCTTTTAGTTTTTCATTTCAAATATTTTAATTGCCATTTTTGCCATCACGAGCTAAGTTGTCGAAACATAATCGTGTCTGTCTAGTGTCTTTAAGCTGACCGTACGTCGAGAATATCGATCTCTTGCGACGCTCGGACCGCTCAGCATCGTGGCGGACGTCTGATAATGGTGTCGGACTGTCGAAAAACCTATCGCGCTCCAAAGTTACGCTACCTACTTTTACCCTACGTAATCGAATGACTCGGGGTAGCCTCAGAAGGCCGTGAAAGTTGTGGTCATCCGGAGTTCATTATCAACGCATGAACACGTATTTAATTTTAGCTTATTACCGGTGGGTGCCTACTGCCTTGTGGATGGTATGCAGTATGCACTATGCAAGTTCTCTTTTGCTGAGTCCTGATGGTATGAGCTCAGATAGGTTTTTTGTTTCTATTGCAGGCCTTTGGCAAATGGACCACTGTTACTCAAAGGTTCATTTTCCGCTAGAAATATGCCAAATCAAATGGTGTTTATTTTTATGTTTTTTTTTCTGGCATTTCCCGTATAGTAAAGCATACTCGGTTCAGTAACGAAGGGTTCACGCGAAGGGTTCACGCTGACTTTTGAGCTAGTTTTTTCATGACAATCAATTTTTGAGTACACTTGGCGATGCGGGCCACAACAATTGCGACGATCGTGTTGAATAAATGGACTGAACAGGTGCTTTGAAGGTTTCCATTTTACAAGGAGCGATAGAAGCACCGCGTGGCCGTTGGCCATGCTCCACTGGTTTCATTTTTCGGCCTGTCCCTTTGAGTCGTTTGAAATGCAGGCTTTTATTGGTTTCGCTGATATATTGCTGTCATGTATTGTTGATCTTACTTACCGCCACCGGCTCCTTTCGGTATCAAGTTGAATAAGTTTCGACAGATGAAGGCTTTCGCCAATTAGGTTTTATGTCAGTGTCTTGTCACGAAACTATGAGTTCATGGATCTGGGGCAACGCAAATAATCAATTTATCATGTTTGTTTGAATATGTGGGATGAAGTTTGAAGGTAGGTGTGGTAGGTATAGAAACGAACGAAACTGAACTAGAAGTGAAAATCACTGTCACGGAGAAAAAAAAAACAACTTCAATGCACACCAACACCCGAGCTCATTTGTCATGATATGACAACATGTGACGATTATAATGACCGACGGTTCGGTATAACTCACAGTTAGCTGTTATAATTCACGCTTCCGCGCCAGCAAGCAATACTTCACAGTGCGGATATAAGGCACCACATCACCATGCCATGAGTTTTTGAGCGGCCGACTCCACACACGTGACACACCGTGTTGATGTCTGTCTCGCTCTGGATTGATAGGTGACACCCCGGCCGATCGCTTGTCTGTCTGTGTGCCCGGGTGCATGTGCTGCGCGCCGCCTCCTGATTGGCTGACCCCGCTGCCCTGTTCAGGGGAGGGGGAGGGACGCGCGGCACCACAGAGGGACGGGACCGAGCCGGCCCGGGCGGCAGACGCGTCTGCGCTTGCGGGCGGTCCGGCAGCGGTCGTGTCGTCATTCTGTGGAGACGAGGCTGCTGGGGTCGTGTGTTCAGAGTGCTTGTAGTGGTCAGTTTTGTGGATTCCGGGCCGGTGGCGGCGGATCATAGTGGAGGGTGCTCTTTATTGACTATTGAGTACCTGTGGTTTGTGGAGGTCGGTACTTTCCGTCGCAACTCGCAGCGATAGTGTCATCAAAACACCAAGCTATCGAATTGATTTCCAAAGCAAACATCAGGCTATCATTGCCTAAGAGGGTAAGGTCATTGTTCTTCACGGTTAGAATATCTTTATTTTTCTTCTCAACGTTTTAACTTCCAATCTTCAGCGAAGTTCGGACTATATTTTTTTTACAACTTGTGGCGTGAATTTTGGTGTTGTGAATCGTGATTCGTGCTGTACTGAAAAAGTATCCCTATCTTCATTGCTCAGCCCCTATCTAACTACCATCTGCTCGGCCCTTATCTACCACCTGTTCGACCGATATGGCCCGCTGAGCCGCCGTCTGTGGCCCGTGTATACTCCAGCTAACCCGTTCGACCGCTCCGTGTGCTCGCCAGGCTGAAGCCTCCGGTGCCGCTCCAGCCGCCGGCAATGTGCGACTGTAGCCTGTACGTGACCTCGGTCACAAACGCTGGCACTCACATCAGCTTCCACGCCCAGCCCAACCCGGAGCAGTTCGCGGTACTGGACCGCCTCATCACACAGAACCAGGCCTTCTTTGAACAGGTGAGATGGCCCGGCTATCTGGTTTTTTATCCAGAATGGGGCATTTTATAAGGGAAGTCTGTATGCGTCGCTAACTACTGTCGTGGTTTCTTTCAGGATGCGAAAAATTATCAAAACTCGATATAGGAATGCACGTTGATCTTCAAATGCCTTGAATCAAAGCCAACTTAATGCCAGTTGCCACTTCTTCCTTAAGACCGATGCGTTTGCTCTTTTTTGTCGTACTTATGCAGCACATTGTCGTGAATGAACGCCGCACGAGCCGCCCTCACCGCTCTCTCCTTTTACCGCCAGGCGCGACTGCCGTCGCCGTATCAGCTGCCGCCGGGACAGACGGTGCTGGTCAAGTCGACGTCGAGCGGCGCGGCCAAGTGGCACCGGGCGCGCGTGGTCGGTATCCAGGGCCCCACTGTCAGTGTCGAGTACATCGACTATGGCACCAGCGAGCTGGCACACTACACCCAGGTAAGAGTCGCGCGGGGCTGGGAGGGGTCAGGGCTGGTGTCTGGACTAGGGTGACTGGGTTAGAGGGGGATGGGGGCTGCGCCGTTGTTTGGTGATTGTTCTGGTATTTTGCTTTTATTGAGTTCATTCATGGCCTTTCAGTTTAAGTTAAGATTGCTTCACCATACACATTATTATTGTGTCCGTTACACAAAGCCTTGTAGCAAAGGGAGAGATCAGACGGTGTTTTAGCCGTTCATCGATCGCACCTAGTTAAGTCGAACTGGAGGCGCTTCAGGAAGCCGGCCGAATGTCCCGGCTAAATGCTGATTGGAGACGGCCGGTCGTTGACAACAGACCCAGGGCCAGGCCTTCTCAGTCCCCATGCCAGAAATGTAACGACCCTGGCGGAGAAGCCGAGAAGCCCAACAGCTGGGACGAAAGCGGTCGCCTTTTGCCGCCTTTTGGATTTCGTCGCTCGATCGGGCGGGCGGGCTCGCTTCTAGGTCGCAGATGGGTGGGGCCCAGATGTGTGTTTTGACGGAAACAGCCCGGCTGCCTGAAAGACGCCGACTGTTGTGACGGGTGATTTATGGCTTGATGAGAGGAGCAGACTTGCTATGGTCACTTTTGTTAAATGGACTGAATTTTTCAAACAATTTGTTAAAAAAACTTATCCAAATGTTTTTTTTTTTTTTGAACGGTTGGAACCTTGGGACCTTTTGAACCTTGTCTGCGTAAAGGGAAGATTAACAAATCAAAGCAAGACCTACTTCCCCAGGAAGAATGCCGCTGTCTTTAGCCGTCCCTATCCCGGCACCGAATACAATATATAATTTTTCGTGTCACTGACACATTAACCCCCGACACCGTCCAGTTTCTCTATATCGACACTATCACAGACAATATTCAAATACAATGAGACATAAGTGCACTGTGTCGATCCAATCATATGACGCTCGTTCCCCGGCCGGCAGATCTGCGCCAGTCGCACCGCACTGCCCGCGGCAGTCCTCACCCAGCCGCCACTGGCGGTGCCCTGCGTGCTGGCCGAGGTGCTTCCTGCCACCGGCACCTGGACAGAGGCAGCGTTCAGTCATGCGGAGGTAGGTCCCCGTGGTGGAATGTGTGTTCAAGGAAGGTTAGGGGTTGGATTGTATCACCTTTTGTGAGGATGGGATTACTGAGGCAGATGGACGCCCTAATGTTCAGTGTTAGTGTATGTGTTTAAACGTTCAGTGTCTTGTTTTCGTGGTGTTTTTTTTTTTAATAAAATACCAAATAATTCAGTATAAGACAATGTTGACCCAAGACTGACTGATGTGGTTTGTGACGTGCCGCCCCGTCCGGTGTGTGCCCGCAGTCGGCGCTGCGCTCGCGTCAGCCTGTTCAGGCTCAGGTGCTGCGTCAGGACACCGACGGGGTGTGGCACGTCCGCGTCTACACCGGAGATGGCCGGACCCTGGCCTCGCAGCTGGCGGCGCTGGGCATGGGACGGCTGACCACGCCGTCTGGGCAGGTAAGAGACGCTTCCACATACGGCTGGTCACGCTTCCGGGGCAGAAGAAACACGCCCACATACGGGTGATGACGCCCCCGCGGAACGTGTACATCTTTTTGAGAATGAGAATGGTCCATGAGTGTTCTGGCAACAAACCGTTTTGTAAACGGGCTGTCTGTCGTGTAGCGCTGGTTCATGTCCGTTCTCCCCTCATTTACTAACCGTGAGAAAGCGGCTGTGGTAGTGACGCTAGTGCCAGCCATCCCCGTGGCCGGCAGCCACCATCGGCCGTTTTTCATCTCACCAATCACCACCCCCTCCTCCCCCCACGGCTCCCACGCCACGCTAACCCCCTACCGTCCCTCTCTCCAGTACCCCGTGCAGGCCGCGTGCAGCCCGCTGGCGCCGGCGTCTTGCGGCCCGGAGCCGCCTCTGGCGTTCGCCACCCGCGTCAGTGAGCTGCTGTCGGTGCCGCCGCTGTCCGGCTCGGAAGCTCTGGTGACCATCTGCCACTACATCAACGGGCCGGCCAAGTTTGCCGTCCAGCTGTATGAACATCAGCCGGCGCTGCTGCAGCTCATGACCGAAATACAGGTCAGTGGAGGGAGGAGAGAGTACTGGGAGGGGGAGGAGGAAGTAAGGGTATGGGAAGACTGGAGGTGGAAGGACGCGTGTGATTTTACGCAATCTTTTCTTCTTGAACATATGTACGTTGTCTTGACGTGGGGTCAAGCCAGTGTTGAATTCATATATGCGGACAGGGAATCAGTAACCTGCATAAAATTCATATTGCATTCGTATTGGGTGCATGATTTTACTCGTATTACTTTACTTTACTTTACTTTGTTTCGTTTTGGTTGTGGGGAGATTGATCCAGGATTTGGCCTGACTTTGCAATCTGCTTTCATTGAGGAGTTATTCAAACCGAAACGGCTCTATCCAAGTTCGCTGACCGGGGCTCTGTCCTAGCTCTGCCAATGCCTGGGAGCACCCTCCTCTCCTCCCCCCGTCCCCCCGCCCATAGCAGCTTCCCCTCGTTCCGCGGCGTTTGAAGTCTATGGGCCTGACGAGGGCCCGCGGGTCGGGCCAAGTTATGGCCGGCCGGGCGGGAACAGGCGGCATGTTTTGGACACGTCAATCTGCCGTTTACGAGAGCGGACGGACCGCCGAATGGGGCCCGTCTCTCCCGTTATTGCCCCGCCTGTTAATGGTCATTGGTCAGCTGACTGACGGGGGGGGGGGGACCGACCGTGGCGCACGTGGCCGCGTGTTTGGCCTTGACGGGCCACGTGGTATGGCCCCGGTGGTATTCTGTTTTCTGTATTCTGTATTTGCATTAACCGACTACAGGCCTTGCAGCCCATTTACAGTGGCAGTCAATTTAAACTAGGTAACACAACACAACATATGCACACAACGATGACAACACATTACATGTACGTTCCCTGAGAACGAGCAGACTCACGGATGTCCGATAAAACGGAGCACGATGATGCCAACATGTCAGCGGTGGGTGTATGTTGCAAGGAGCGGTTACATAGCACCGCTTTGGTTTGTGCTCAATTAAGTCCCGCTTTGTACAGACCGATCTTTCATTTCTAGTCAATGTGTATCGCAATAGGATTGACTGCCCTTACCTGATGGCAATCTTCGGACTAGCAGTCCCCAACAGACGCTCTCGACAGACAGGGCTGTTCCACGTACCGTTCGGTCGAGTGAACACTGTGAAGTCAGGGTTCACTGTCCGTTTCCCTGTGGTATAGGAGTGCCGCTGTTTCGGGCTCGTATGTTCGCATTCCGATCTGCCGCTCTAATGTGGAACTCCGCAAGGAAGGAATGTTTTGAGGTTTTCACTGTGGTATACATATATTCACTTTTCGGTACATGCCAAGCAGTCCAGTGTCCCAAAATTTGTAGATGTGGGTGGGAGACGACATCCAAATGAAAATCATTTTCCTCTCTCACCTCCAGTTTTCAAGCCCAGTTTTCCACTCCCGATTCCACCGAGAAGGAGCAATTGCGTGAATGGTTGTTTTGCATCTGTCAATGGTAGATAGTTTAATGTTTTTGATCATTTTCCCACTTTTTTGGGGCCTTACCTGACCGACATTTTTCACTCCCACCCTTTTTTTTTTGGTCAGCAATTTTCACCTCTGACACCCAAGCAAAAATATAATTTTGGGACACTGATGCCAAGTGTGAAATACGTGCGCTCAGCTCTCCGACATTTTTGTCATTTGACCTGCGACTCCGGTCGCTATACCTGACCTTCGGCCAAAGCTGGGATGTCAGCAGCCCGCCGGTGTCGCTGTCAGTGACCTGTGACCTCTGGCTCCTCTGACCTGTGACCCTACCCCTCTGACCTGTGACCTCTGGCTCCTCTGACCTGTGACCTCTGACCCTCTGACCCATGACCCTGCCGCTGAGTGTCATTGTTGGGAATACGACACTTGGGTCCCAGGTGGGCCTAAAAGATTGTGTTCCCCTTTACAAATTTATGCTCCAGCACCTTCAATATTCTGATATTTTCACCTACGTGAAAAAAAAACAGAAGATAGCTGTAAAATATGAATGTAACATTTTAGTTTCGCATTTTATCAGTAGTTACGTATTAGTGGCCAAAAATATGCTGATGTGGCTGGTTGTTTAAAAGCTGACCGGTTCCCTGGTTCAAATTTTATTATCCGGAACTCCAAGATCGAAAATGATAATTCCCTGTCCATGCTGACCTATGACATCCGGTTTCCAGTCGTACTGCCAGAGCAGCCCACCAGTGCCACTGTCTGCCGTCGAGTCTGGCGTCGTGTGTCTGGGCTCGTCAGCATCACGAGAGGGACGCTATCTGAGAGGAGTCATCACCCAGGCTGATGGCAACGTGGTCAAGGTTAGTCCTCGCTCCTCCCCACACACACTGTCCTCTAGACACACAGTGTTATCTGGCACAAACGTCACGGGGTCCCTTCGTTGGCTCTGGGAGGGAGGCGTGGGGCGACAGGCGCCGGCGGCCTACTCAAACAAGCAGCTGAGTCGCTCGGTCCGGTCCCCCGGACGGATTGGGGACTCTGCGGGACCTCCCCGCGGCTGCCCCGAGGCGCTTGGTGCTGTGGGTAGTCACTGATAGTAGAGACACCGGGAAGCGATGACGCCGCTGCAGGCTGCAGGGCTTCCTTGCAGACCGTCTGTGGTTCCGTTCAGAGTTCGGGCTTAAGGGGGGGGGGAGGCTAGCGCTGACCGCGACGGCAGCTGATGGTTTTAGGCGGATGTCATTTCATTCCCTTTCCTTTCCCTGTGTTGCCGGGGGAGGGGAAGGGGATAGCGCTGACCGTGCGACACACCCGCAGGCGACCGATGCTATCAGGACACCCTCCCCGCCCGTTCTCCCTCCCCGCCCCCTCTTCCTTGCGGGGCTGCCGACGGGGAGAACCCGACACCGCCCCGGAGGCCGTAGTTCATGACCTCGCCAAGGGGAGGAGAGGGCGGCATAGCAACAATTCGTGGTTTGGCCGCAGAGTGCGTGTGCCCCGGATTCAACTGATGAGAGAACGGCTATGGAGGGTGTTGGCCTGGCTGATGCGATTTTGTGTGACGTGGTTATGGACATTGCTCTGAGATCTCGAGCAAAAGTGTGAGGCATTTGTGGTTAGCAGGTGTGTTGCTATTTCACTTAGCGTTCTTCTCAGTTGACAGTTGTATTTTGAGTCCCCGCCACTCTGGACAGAGCGGTTTGATTTGGGACGCGCTCTTTCTTCCCCAGGGCACATCACCTGACATCTTTCGACAAAGATGTCTCACATTTTCGGTGTCAGCTTTGTCAGCAGCAGATAGTATAGTGTCCTGCTCACCAGCGGGCGGGCCGCCGATACAGCAGGCAGCAGTCCTCACCCGGTGTCACCAGCACCGATAGAACTGTGTGCTTTTTGGTCTCAGTCCGAATCCTTTCATTGTTCGGTTATCTGGGTTTGGTCAAGCCGCTCGAATAGCGACTACAGTCGCCCGTTGATCGATGGTCGGCCTAGGCGACGTCAAATTGAATGACAGTCCTCACTGTGTAGGCTCGATCATTGCCATGAAGACTTTGTAATCATTGGCAATAATGGCCAAGTAAAGCAGTTGTGGCGATTTAGAGATCAATATCGAAAATTCAGATTCAGATGTATTCGAAAGAGGTCCATACTGCGGGATCATTTCCTGTATGTTTGATGCAGTCTTGCAATGCAATCCAGCCATCCAAGAAACTTTGCGCGAGACGTTTTCTTGGATGGTTTTCTTGGATAGCTTGATTTCATCGAGGGCTTCTGTTAAAAAAAAAAAATTGTAAGCTTTGCTGAACTGTTGAGTAATTAGAACTGCCAGTATCTCAGTATCTAACGTGTAGTTATTGTTACTGTATTTTATTTATGCATATTTCGGCCTTTTTTAAGCAGATAACGAACGATATTAAGAAACATACAGGAAATAATATCTAGGACTCTACCGCGACGAAATATTTCTATCTCGAGTTTTCAAAGAATTTCATGCACTCGGCCAAGGCCTCGTGCATGAAATCCTTTGAAAACTCTCGATAGAAATATTTCGTTTTCGCGGTATTGTCCAAGAATGTATATTCTTGGAAAGTACAGCCCACCGCTAAAGTAATGTAGGGTTTTACCAATCTCAACGGTTGGCTTTGACTGGCGATTGTTTAATGCGGAGTGATCGAAAAGAAGATGTCAATAGCTAAAGTTGCAGCTGCAAGGGTGACGATACATATAAGCTACATTCAAAGTTTCATTGTAGTCTGGTTAATCGTTCCTAAGCTTCAGAAGCAGAACATACCCATGACTGAAACCCCACATTACTTCTGCTGTGGACTGTACAAATGAGGGAAAAGTAAAACATACGGATAGGTAGGTATATACATCATTGCATGCAATCATCCCACACTCACACCCATTCTGCATCTCCAGTGACGATAACTCGCCTGACAGCAGAGCGAAAACCCGGGATGCCGGGTTCCACTCCCAAATTGTTGAGCATGGCCACTCCACGGTAGCACGGCCTCCTGCCAGCGTCAGTTCGTATCAGGATGACGGCATATCAGGATGGCACGAGCGTCTCTCGTCCATCACTGACACTTACAATTGCGATATTTGCGCGATCTTTGCCTTTTCCGCATTCGCCGGCATAGCACACAGCCGTGAGCCGGTAATGATTTTGAGATTTACTCCAGCTGAAAGCATTGCCATGACGATCTTTTATATCATGCGTGGCAGTGTCCCTGAGTTCTCTGCAACTGTCAGCGGAGGGCCCCGTAGCAGTCAGCGCTCGGCATATTGTTTTGGTGATTTGATCGGCATTCGGCATCACCTGACCCCCCCCCCCCCCCCCCCTCCGTTGGCCGGCGACCGACAGATCTCGGTAGTGTCCGGTATCGTATGCAAGTGCAACCATTGTGTCCCGGGGGGGGGGGCGTCTACGACTCTCACCCGCGACCCAGCTCCCTCCCCCCGCACGCGCACACAAACACGCATACCTCATTCAAGCCCACACTGTCAGAAACACCGTCTAAATTCGTCAATACTCCATGCTCCCGTAGACGCGCGGAGGCCACGTGCGCAGCCGGCAGTGGGGCGGGGCTCCGGCCGTGACGTCACGGCCGTCAGCTGTTATCCACTGGCGGCGGCGGCAGAGGCGGAGCCAGGCAGGGGTGCCGGGGCGGCGGGCGGCCGGCGTCAGCTGATTCACAGCGGGCGGACACGGCTAGGGGGAATAGATGCCAAAGAGCTATTTTAGGGGGGAATTATTACACGCATCTTATTTTTACTTATAGTTTTTGCACGTAACGTTAGGCTTAGCCTTAAAAGTGATGTAGTGTAGCCGAGGCACTGGGCACTGATATCAGTTTTGGGGTGGGCCAGTGACGGCCAAGCGAAGCTTTAGTCCTAACCGTTGATAACAGATGACTCTGTAGCGCTAGGGCAAAAATTGGACCAACTTGTTGCTTTTTCTGGACTTCCAAGAAATTTATTCCGGACATCACGTCCGTTTTTGGTAGGACACCAAAGTCAACTAGCGAATGAGACTGTTCTATGGCGTGCTAATTCACTGTAGTTGTGTGAGAGATGCGTATAATGCCCAAAACTAACATGAAACTCCTCGAGCGTTCAGCATAAGGGTCAGGCCGGGCGGTCAGATGTTAAGACCTTACTTCTACAGGATCATTTCTATAGGTCTTATCGCGATCATTCATCTCGAATTTTCGCGTGTCTCAAACCATGATGAAGAGTCGTGGTGGTTTCTCTTGAGCGGGAAGTGGTCAGTCGACCCTCCTTGCTGAAGGTCTTCTGACGTTGAAGACCGTTCCACTCTCCGCCTTGGCGGATTGTGGGGGAGAGACCACGTTCTGAGTGGTTTGATTTCTTATCTTGATCATTTGAGGTGGTGGAAGTTGGAATGGGGGGTCCAAGGGGAAAGTACTGGAAATAGTCCGGGATACATTTCTCTTACGGCTGTCTGTGTTTTTAACTGTGGTCAATTGGTCTTGTGTCACTAATTACTGGAGGTAAAATGCACTGAACGGCCGCGCGATCAACTACAATGAAATACAATGCATGGCGGAATAGGATGCATAAAGAGCAGGTTGATGCCTTTATATGGCCTTGGGTTGATGAATGAAAATGACCTTCACGTCGGCATAATTTCGAAGGGATAAGCTAAAAACGCTTTTGGCTGCAATAAATTTGTTAAGCAACAATTTAATAAAAGTTATACAGTAGATGAAAAGTATTTGGGTATAGTTATCCACGTAAGTAATTCCTTCCCTTTACTGCTCAGTTACAGTCGTGAAAGCGTCGCGAAGTTCAAATGAGATGAAAGTGGGCACTGGTCTCGCCGACGACGGCTCCCCCCCCCACCCCCACCCCCTGATCTCAGCCTGCCAGCTCAACGAAGTGACTGAGGCGTCAAATGACCCCTCTACCCAGCACCTCCCCCACTCTGCTCCGTCGGCCAGCTGACACGACCGGTATCGTATTCAGTCTGCCGTGTGTGACCCTTGATGATGCCGCCGGCGCCGGCTATGTTCGGTCCGTGCAACCCCTGACAGTCGTCTCTCTCTCTCTCTCTCTCTCTCTCTCTCTCTCTCTCTCTCTCTCTCTCTCTCTCTCTCTCTCTCTCTCTCTCTCTCTCTCTCCCCGCCCCTCCCCTCTAACAGGTCTACTGGGCCGACTATGGCAACGACGAGACCAAAGTGGTCTCCGAACTGCGCGCCATGCCCCGCCAGTTCACCCAGCTCAGGATCCAAGCGAGCCGGGTAACCCTCGCCGGCCTGTCTGCCCTCAAACCGGTGCCGGGCAGAGCTGAGACCATATTCCGACAGAAGACCGAGGGCAGTGTGCTGACTGGACGGTTTGACAAGCCGCGCGATCAGCCGGCCGGTGCTGCCACAGGCTCGGCTGCCTGCTTGGTGAGTGGGGCGCAGGGCTGGAGTGGTACTTTGGTGGGTCTATAGGAGTTTGGAAGGGAGACTGCATTGGTTATTGGTTTGTCTCAATGTGTATGCAATATGTTTGGTTAATGGTTATGGCTGTTATATGTTATGTGCACTGCTTGGACATGCGGTTGATATTTAGTTTTTTTAGTATGTGATAGTGTATTTTATTTGTTTTTGTTTGTAGGTTGATGTCGTCGATGATTGATGCCTTGATCCGCTGACACGCTAGACTCCTCTGACGCCCCACCTCCCTCCTCCCCCACAGAACCAGGTGGAGCTGTTTGACGTCGGTGAGAGCGTGCTGGAGATTCTGATCCGAGAGGGCGCCTACGAGCGGCGCGCGGGCTCTGCCCCCGTCCCCCGTACTCCTCCGGTGGTGGCGGCCCGCCGCTCGGCCAGCCCGCCGGCCGAGCCGCCGCCGCTCACCCCGGGAACTCACGCCGAGGTGCGCGTGGTGTCTGTCACCTCCGTCAGCAGCCTGCACGTGCGGCCCCTGGACACGGAGGCGGTGCTGCTGCAGACCCTACAGAGACTGACGGATGCGCTCAATGTCAGCGCCTGCCCGCTGCCCATGGTGCGGGCGTCCGAGGGCTCCCTGTGCGCCGTGTTCAAGGTAATATTCTTGGTCCCTCTTCTGTGGTGGTTTGATTGATGCCGTGGGCTGTGGATGAACAGATAAGATAGTTTGCATCTTGCTTCATTATTCAACTTTCAAGCTTACAGAAAAAATCTGTTCATAAGAAGTTATATGCAATGCGAACGAAAAAAAAAAGTTAAAAGGCAACATCATTCACCTTAATTTGTCCCTTTCTATCGCCAGGACGCCAGCTACCAGCGCGCCCGTGTGATGAGCGTCGGCAGACGCGACATGAAGGTGCTCTACATCGACCTGGGCACCTCAGAGATCATCCCAGCCGGCGCCGCGTTCGCCCTCGAACAGGACGTCGCCAACTACCCGCCTCAGGTCAGACTAGCTGCAGAGCTGGGTGGCCACCTGACATAGCGTGTGTTTGTTGCGTTGACCACCGAGTGGCGCTTGGGTGAGTGTGTGTGGTGTTCTTATAGGTGTCGCTACTGACTCTTGGATGTCCAACGACGGCCAGCTATGTTGTTCGGATGAGGTCTTTGGTAAACGAGTTTGGGGTGATGTTGTCAATATTTGGACAGTTAATTTCATTAGCGATTTGTAACTTTTAAGTGCGTTTAGCTGGGTCGTCTTAAACATCAAAGCAACATGGCTCTCCAGTTTGGTTTAGCCAAGTATAAGGCCAGAAAATAAGGCCACATCCACCATCCCTCCCCACTCCCAGGCTGTCCACTGCTGCCTCTCCGGCCTGGAGATGTCTAACTGTACCCCTCCCTCCCCAGGCTGTCCACTGCTGTCTCTCCGGCCTGGAGATGTCCCACGGCACGCCGGAGCTCGTCGAACAGCTGCGCGCGCTCACTGCCGGCGGCCGCCTCCTCTGTGAAGTCCTCGACCAACTGGGAGAGAAACGTATCGTGCGGCTCACCGATCTGACCCGCTCGCCGCCCCTGGACGTTGGGGCCATGCTCAGAGGGATGATGTCTGGAGCTCGGCGCGTGAAACAGAGCCCGAGCAAGCCGCCGCCGGCCGCCGGGTCACCGAAGCCCCAGCCGGTCGCCGGGTCGCCCAAACCGGCTCCGGCCGCCGTCACCGTGCGACCACCGGAGGTGAGGGAAAAGGAAGGAGACTAGATGAGAGGTTAGAGTTCAGCACGCAATGCGTGAATAGTAATTAAGTGGCATGATGAATGAACAGACAAGTCTCCACGGCACAAAACATACCAACGAAACCCTGAGGTACTTGATATTTAGGTTATGTTGTTGTTTTATAAAATGGCCTACTCGGGGAATGGTGAAATGAGAATGAGACACTTGCTTGTCATACGCTTGATTATAGTCACTTGCATCATTTCCTTCGGCTTGCGAATACGGGCTAGCCACCCACTCATGTACCAAGTGCCAACCCCGCAGGCTGCCGTGCGCGTGCATTCCACACACACTCTAACGCCTCCGCCCCTCTCCGTCCGCCCCGTTCAGGTGGAGCTGGGCCGTCCGGAGCACATCTCGGTGGTCTACGTCGAGTCGGCGGCCGCCTTTTTCGGCCAGCTGCTCTCCGCCGATGTGGACGCCATGTACGACATGGAGGCCGCCATGCAGGAGCGGTACGGAGGCGCAGTGAGCCCGCTGAGACCGGCGCCGGTGGGAGCCTTCTGTGTGGGACGGTCCACCATCAATGAGACGTTCTACCGCGCCAAGGTGGGTGCTAGGGACAGGGTTTAGTAACCATGTGTCAGGGTATGTGCGTGAAAGTAGATGAGAGGGCGCTGCTTACCTATGTCTCAGAAACCTTCATTGGTAGAGGATCGACATGCAGCATCCCTCAGTCCATGATTAGGGTTGTAGGAAGTGCGAAGGACAGTGCTTTGTCAGGACGAGTGAAGGATGTGTAATACCCTCCCCCAGCTGTCTGACCTAACCCGACCTCTGCAGCTAGTCTGCGTCAGGTGTCGGACGTCCTGACCTGACCAGATATTAGCTTTGCTGTCCCCACTTGTCTGACCTGACCTCTATGCCCCCTGGTGTCTGGCCCTCACCTGACCTCTGCGCTGTCCTCAGGTGCTGTTGTCCGCCTCGGACAAGGTGACCATTCAGTACATCGACTACGGCGATCAGGAGTCCAAGGCGCCCTCAGAGGTGTTCCCGCTGCTACCAGAGTTCACCAAGCTGCCCCAGCTGGGTATGACAACTAACTGCGGCTATACGGCGCAGACGACACTAATTTTGTTATGTAACTGTAGTTGGAGCTCATTAGCCTACCCCAGCTCGGTATGAGAACTGGCTGCGGCAGCTAGTTACTTAACAGGCTGGCCCACAGACATCTTGGTAACCGACGCCTTTCATATTGACAAATAACTTCATTAGAGAGCTGAGTGGAAATGCTGTAGTGGTACGGCCGTGGCTTTCATGACAAGTCAACTAGTCTGTATTGAGATTAAAGCTTTGCCTAGTCTGACCTCCCTCCCTCCCCTCTCGTCCACGCAGGGATGTTTTGCTGTCTGGCCGGCGGCGAGTCGGTGCCGGAAGACACGTTCTCACGGCTGGTGCAGGACCAGACCCTGCTCGTACTCCCCGTGTTCGGCTCGGGCGACCACTACCGCGTCACGCTGCCACCCTGCTCCGAGAACCAGCCGCTGCTGGCGCAGCTCAAACCGTTCGGCATCGCCGCGGCCTCCGTGCCGCCGCCCAGTGAGTCAGATACCGTCGGTCACAGGCGGGCACAGGCGGTGGGGGTAGAGGTCTGCTGAGCAGGGACGTGACTTGTTCTGTTATGGTGTTGGAGGACCCCAATGTTTGCAGTTTGGAGACGGAATGATTTCTGAATCTCAGAATATTAAGTTCTTATTAATGTCTTACCATGTTCAATTTCCTTTGTGCCATTAAATATGCCAATGCTTTGAATATGCTGAAGAACCGAAAGATCAGTTAGCTTACATACCTTTCTATGCCCTCTCTTTGATGAGACCCTGCATCAATTTGTCAGCGTTTTATCTCCTAAACAGTGCTGCGATTCTCAAGTTACCGTATATCGTCCAAATTCAGAGTCACTCACTATCGCTGTCCGATTCCAGAGTCGCCGGCAGCCACCAACGGCAGTTTGTCGTCTCCGTCGCCTCGGCCGCCATCCAGCTCTCCAGTGGCCACCACTGGCCAGCCGTCTGAGCCCGTCAAACTGACCGAGCCGCAGCTGCCCGTCGGACTGTTCAAGGTCTGTCACGAGTTAGCGGCGGATCGAGTGTGCGACTTGGGTATTTGTTTGAAGACAGGCTGCGTTTAGTATGAGGCATTGCCGCTTACATAGCTGATCTAATGCCATGTTAAATTGAAATGTCTCCAGCTGTTTTAGTCGACATGTCAGGCTGCTTCTCCTGCCCTCAGGTGCAGTTGCAGGTTGTATGGCTGGCCAGTGACACTCTTCCATCCCTCCCGTCTCTCCGTCTCAACAGGACGTTACCGTGGTACACGCCGTCTCTCCGTCCGAGTTCTACGTGCGCCTGCGGGAGCACTCTGACTCGCTGGCTCGGCTGGAAGCTGAACTGGCCTCGTACGGGACGGCGGCTCCGGCGCCGGTGACCTCCCAGCAGACGGTGGCTGTGGAGACTGCCGCCGGCTGGCGACGCGGACGCGTCAACGGCAGGAAAATCGATCAGGTGAGGATGGATAAGTGGTGGGGGAGTCGTCAGGGTGTGGTTGAGGATGGTTGGGAAGGGAGATCACAGGGTAGCCGCTGTTCTTACAGACAGTCGGGATTCGGCACTGTGATGCTCTTTTGTGCATGTTGTATGTAGTAATAGTAGATGGTTTAGTAACTGTTCAGTCTTTGTAGTAATATTCGCTCCTCCTGTCTATGAGCTTGATCATTCCAGTCTTACAGTATGTGAAATGGTTTGTGTACGCCTTTCGCTTAGGCGTATTGGTTATGTAAGCGTGGTTGGATCCGACGAAGTGGTTCAAATATATGGTGTTCTCATTGAACTAGGGATCTCCTCGGCCACCAAGTGTCTGGACAGTGGGGAGAAACTGACACACTGAATTCTCCTCCCTTCCTCAGGTCTCCGTCTTCCTGCTGGACAGCGGGGAGACGGTCTCCGTACCGATGTCGTCTGTCCGACTGCTCCGCTCAGAGCACGCCCGGCTGCCGGCCCAGGCCATCCTCTGCTGCGCCAAGGGAGCCCGGCCGAGCAGCAATGGAGGCTGGACCGACGAGGAGGTATGGGTCGCGGGCGCTGGCCTCAGGTGTAAACGCTTACAAGATGTCTGCGGCTGCTCACGCAATGACACCAGAAAACCTGTGTGCTGGAGTCGGACCGGACGATGGGGGGTTTGGTTGTGCTTGCTACAAAGAACACTGGTCATTTTATCTTGTCTCCTTAGTTTTTAACTTTTTTCACTAACTAAGCTACGCTATCTCTCGATATTGTCGTATTCTGAAACCTTCAGAAAAATCACTATTTCGGCAATGTTGGTCTTGCTTCTCCCCCAAACACCCTCCCATAATATCTCTGCACCACCTTACCATAACCGCCCAATCCCACCAGACGACCCAGTTCCGCGGCTCGGTGGCTGGCCGCAGTTTCCTGGCGCGTGCTGAGGAGGCGCGTCCCGGCGCCCCGGCTGTGGTAACGCTAGCTCAGGCGGAACCGGTGCGAGCGACTGCTCTGCTCCACCCGGGGTCGGGACAGCAGTCACCGAGGTCATCCGATGCTAACAACAATACGGCCAAACGCACCTCGCCGCCGCCACGCGCCGATCAGGTTAGAGAGAAAGGATGATTGTGGGAATGGAGGGAGGATGTAGCTAGTGGGAGGAGTGATCAGGTGAGCGATAGAGTGAGAAATGAGTGAAGGTGAGCGGAAGAGAGGTAAGCGTTCTGTCAGAGGTGAGATATACCATGGATATACCATATGTGAGTCATGGAGTGGGTGAGGTGAGTTACGGGGTGAGTGAATGCTGAGTTGAATGAGTTATGTATTGGGGAGATGCTGCTGTCGGAGCAGGTGTAGACACGGCATGTCGCCTCCAGCTGGCCTTTTTGATTCAAAACTAGTTCCTGAGAGGGGATAGTAGCCGGGTCTAGTCGCCATTTCGCTGGAATTTGAAATCGATGGGTCTCGTCATCAGGGCTGCGGAGTCGGAGTCGGAGTCGGGAGTCGGAGTCGACGGAGTCGGTTATTTTTGCCGGAGTCGGAGTCGGAGTCGGAGTCGATAAAAATCAACCGACTCCGACTCCGAGCAGGCGTTCGGCTGACGGGAGAATTTTAACTATGCGCCACGCGCGGCAGCCAGCCAGCCACGTTGCCTAGCAACTGCACGCAGCGACACGAATTCGTCGGCTGACGGCCTGCCGGTCGGGGTGGGCGTCTGCAGCAATAGTGTAGCGGCGGACGGGGAAGGACGTTACTGACAGGCGTCTGTTTTTTGCATTGTTTTGGGGTTTTACTCGAGAAAGATGTCAAAAATAAGTGGGGTGTACAATCTTTTCGAATGCACAGATTCAGGATTTGCATGCAAAGTGAACGACTGTGGAGTGAAAATACGAGATTTCGGACAGAAAAAGAACGTATGTTCGAACTTAAAACGACATCTGAAGCGATCCCACCCGGACGCCTTTAAAAAAGTTACTGAAGAAGACGAACAAACTAAGAAATCACGTACTGAGCCGACGCTGAAGTCGAAGATGTCGAAGATCACTGACTTTTATAGTGCCGCGCGATTTCCGCCGAGGAACTGAAAAAAAAAATATAGTGGATCTAGTCGTGCGAGGAGGAGTGTCGCTGACCACTCTAGGCAGCGAGGCCATGCGTAATTTGATTGGGGACATGGCGTCCAAAGTGAAGTTCAGTTTGGACAGGGATTCAATTCGTGATGCGATCATGAGTGCTGCCGAAAAAAGGCGAAATGAGATCAAGGAAGAATTGCGCGGCCGCGCCTTATTCATGAAAATAGACGGCTGCACTCGACACAACCGTTCTTACCTCGGAGTAAACGTGCAGTTTTCCAAACCATCCGATTCGGGTGGAGGAATTCAAGTTCGTACGCTGGCAGTGCGCGACTGCGATGGGATCCATTCCGGTCAGCACACAAAGGACATGCTGGTTCAGATAATGTCCGATTTTGAAATATCTCATGACCAGATATTCGCGATTGTGTCTGACAACGCCGCAAACATGATAAAAACGGTGTCTCTTTTTAACCAAGAAAGTGGCGAAAGGGAAGCAGGGACGGGCACCAGCCTGGCGCCAAACGAAGACAGTCCTGACGAGCCCGATGAAGACGCGCCCGATGGAGAATCAGAAGACGAAGACGGCGACGCCGCAGACGCGCACGACGAAGACGGAGACGCAGCAGACGGAGACATGCCGGACCTCAGGGCTGCCGTCAGTGCTGCGCCGCCAACAGCCAGCCACATGAGGTGTGCTGCCCATACTCTGCAACTGGCAGTCCGAGACGGCATCAAGTAAGTGCCACTTTCTATACTTTATTTTTATAAATAAGTCTTGAAGAAATGTTCATTGATTTGTGTGCTTTCATTTTACGATTACCTACCTATTAATCGGCATATCCTGCCGGACGCCATGGCAGCTGACGTCTTAAAATGTGTTTTTTTTTTTTAACAGCGGCATTCCGTTCGTTGGTGGGAGCATTTTGTCCCCCCTCCCCTGTGTTTTTTCATGTGTTTGTTTCTGTTTGCTTCTGTGTTTGTTACGCCCACTGGAGGGAGGCAAAACCCGCCCCCCCCCCACCTGTTGATCTCCTAAGGTCAAAGGTCAGGTCACCAGGTCAGGTCAAAGTCAAAACTTTGTTTTGTACCGGATTCGAAGTTGAAGGTCGTGCTGTGACACAGTTTTAGTCTGAATCACTTCAAACTTTCAGGTTCCTATACGGAGGTGGATACCTACAAAATTTATATCTCGGATTTTCCAATTTCGTGACATCATGCAGGCATGCCCAAAAAAAGCGGCACTGCGCGCCGCCGTTTTTTTTTTAGATATTCGCGAAAAACTGGAGGGGGCGGATTTTGCTCCCCCCCCCCCTCCCTCCAGTGCGCGTGTTAATACCTATATTACTAATGTGTTATAACGGGGCGGTCAGGGAAAAAAATGAGATGACCTTAGGTTAATCATGTAAAAATATTAGGTATACAATTTGTAGCTACCTATCACTAGATCACATTAAAAATAAAACAATGTCCATTAAGCACTAGCGGGATGTCAAGCTTCGAAAAATATGTTCGAGGGTGATGTTACGTAGCCAGTGACCTGGTAACCTGACTTTTCATATTTGAAGTGAAAAGTTTCAGACAATGTGGGCAATGAATGTCGAAGAAATGTGCCAGGTTTGGTTGTACATATGGCCTATGGGCGCAATTTTTACGTTGATGGGGAAAAATCCGGGGGCTGATCTGCCCACTGGCCGTGCTGGGGTTTAACCCTCGCATGTGTAGGGGGGGGGGGGGTCGGATGGACCCCCCCCATGGTTTTTCGCGAATAACTCGCGTAAAAAGCGGCCGATCGCGACGAAACTTTCAGTACCCTCGCATTAATCAATTTTACACCTACCCTGAAAATTTCATGACCCTGACCCAAATGACCTTTGACCTGTGACCTCTTTCCCGAGACCATGTTTGGCCGGAATCGCGATTTTGCGTATGTCGGCTCGCATTAGCCGCGCGTTTGCAAGCTTTTCGTGGTTTCAAACGTTCAAACATGTGATTTGATGTTGCTCCCATACATTAGGGTGGGTGTCAAGGTCACCTGAAGGTCAGGTCAGGTCATTGACCTCTGGTGACCTCGGGTGACCTCGGTTCACTTTTTCGAGTTTTACATGTTTCTAGGCTAGTTTTTGGAGCTGAATTCGAATTTAGCAACTATTTGAACATTTACGAAGTAGTTTTGGTGACTTCGTAACATGTTACGAAGCTGTCAGAGGCGGTTGACACGTACTACGAATACCCGGCAGGACCCCTACTGGTTGACCTGACCTGACCTGACCCGACCTGGTCTAAATGCTTAAAGACCTCATCTGTGATCAAAACTAACAATATTCGTGATCAGCACCCGAAAACCCCTTAGCAGCCACACTTTACGACTTTCTAACAGGTCCCGATTTTCCCCACTTTGGGTCATTGACCTGACCTGGAAGGTCAACAAATGACCTAGGACCTTAAAATTGGGTATCATCGGCTTCCTCTCGTCACGGGCAACACGCTCGTTTTTTCCGCGAAGCTCTAGCTCGATCAGGGGCCAAACGGCAAGGGGGGGGGTCCAACCGACCCCCCCCCCTACACATTAGAAGCTGGCAAACGCCGCACACATGCGAGGGTTAAAGAAATACACGCAACTGAATCCACTTCTAATTTCGCAGGTCCGTCAGTACTCTCCTGGCAGGAGCACGGTCCGTAGTAAAGAAGCTCCGGACGCCTCATCTGGTTGCCGTCATCAAGCGCAGGGGAGCGCTGAGTCCTATCTTGGACAACGAAACGCGTTGGTCCAGCACAGGTCGGATGCTGACCAGGCTCCTGGAGCTCCGTCCGGTCGTGGAAGACCTGGGAGCTGCGAACCCGCAACTGCATCTGTCCAATGATAAGTGGCAGCAGCTGCAGAGCCTCGCAGATGCTCTGGTCGAGCCGACCGCTACTATGGCACGTCTGCAGGCTGCGGAGCTGACGCCCGGCCTCTTCCTCAAAGAGTGGAAACTCTTGAAGCGTAAGTTGGAGGCCAATGGCACGAGGCTCGCTGCTGCCATCGTTGCTGCCATGGATCGACGCCAGGGCAGGCTCTTTGAGTGTGACCTGTTCTTGGGGGCAGTGTACGTCGACCTCCGTTACCGACTTCTGCTTGATGAGGCTGATCTCAACTACGCTGAGCGGGTTTTCAACAGGATTGTCGAGCGTGAGAGCCAAATCCGCTGCCCCGAGACGTCCCACGAGGAAGGCAGCGGCGAGCCAGGAAGCCAGCAGACGGCGCGGGCAGCGAATGACGGCACTGGCAACAACGCCAGCAGCACCAGCAGCGAAGATGAGCTGGAACAGGCGCTGGACCGCCTTCAACAGCGTCGTCGGTTGACGGACGCAGAGCTGACGTCGACTCTACGTGAAGACCTGGAGAAGGTGTGACAGCTTCCCCGAGTCAAAAGCAAAGACGCGTTCGAGGCTATCTGCTCTTCATTCCCGTCTCAGGTGCGAAATGCAGCTTGTGCCTTGACGGCACTACCAGTCACGCAAGTGAGCGTCGAAAGGCTGTTTTCGGCTCTCAAGTTCATCCTGAGTGACGCGCGGTCGACAATGAAACCCGACTTGGTCGAGGCTATACTGATCCTTCGCACGAACTGGCAGTAAAGTAGCAGCGGGATACAAGATACCTACCATGCTGTGGTACTAGGCTGTGGTACTGGACATTGGTAGTCTTAGCCCGTAGGTATGTACTTATAGTAGTACTCGAGATCCGAGGCTCGAGGCTAATCTCAGAGAACCCACGTGCTATGTCGATTGAGCTCAGAATATACTTAATCGTGCTACAATTTGTTTCGTTTCAGAACAGTGGTGACGGTGGATTCCCGTGTATGGTGGGAGAGGGGGTCTTTACTCGTATTTTACAATGGGCATTACTACTACATAGCATCTGTCAAGTACGCACGTCTCAGATATGTGTAGCATTTAAAATGCATCATGAATCATTTAAAAACAGCCGAAGTCTGCCGGAGTCGGAGTCGGAGTCGGAGTCGACGAAAAAATACCGACTCCGGAGTCGAAGTCGACTCCATTGAAATGACTATCGACTCCGCAGCCCTGCTCGTCATCCACTCAATGAAATCAGCAGGTCACATTTTTAACTAGCACGGTAAATTCGTTGGGCTCTTTGCATGATGCTACACTTTCGTTACTTGTGGCGCCCGAGTCTCCTTTGCTCTGCTCGTTCGATCGGCGTTGGACGCTCTCTTTGCTCTTTCCGCCACAGGAGGTGCTTCAAACCATCGTACACACAGTCACGTCCAATGGGCACGGAGGGGTCGATCTTGAGAAGCGATGCAAGCTCCTCGACCTACTCCTCAAGGCAAGTGTAGAGGCGCTTCTAATGGTAAAACACTGGGTGACGGATCCATGAGGTATTGGGAGGTTTGAGGTCCACTCTTCGGCAATTTTCTAGTGACATCCACCGTAGTGTAGATTGGAACGCATGCTTAGCTCTGGCTTTGGACGCCTTTTTGTCGCGAAGCATTGAATCGAAGTTGCTGGTCAAAATCACGAGGACTCACGCCCGCACAAATTGTTGTTCGGTCACTTTTATTTCAACTAATCGAAGGGGAATGGAGTGCTGCTGTAGAATTCGAGCCTCGAAGAGGTGCTAAGTTCGTTGCTTCCTCCAACTAAGTAGACTCGCACAGCTTTTGTAATTTTATAGTATGCCAATCTGCGAACGATGCATGACTGTCTTCTTTGGAATATGGAAGACGCGCTTTTTGTCGTTATGCATCTGCACGTCAGAAGATAATATTTGCTTGTTCCATGCTCCCATCAGTTCAAGGTTTGTTACATTGTTCTGCAACATAACTGTTGTGACGGCAGAGTACTGTGCTAACACTGTGTTCTCGACATGCAGCTGACCAAGTGGTGTTCTCTCGTCTGTCCCCAGGACCCCAACTGGCGGGACAAGTCCACCGCGGTACCCCCACCTTCTGCCAGCTCCGGCCCCGGATGGCGGCCGTCCGACTCACGACCCAACGGTGGTCTGCGCGCCGCCGAGCGCCGCTCCTCGGGCAGCTCCGCCGCCGCCCCCTCCCCGCGGCCGCCCAAACCCTCGACCACCTCCGCCGCCGCCCCAGCCGCCCCAGAGGAGGACTCAGAGCCGCGCCTCGAGCGGTTTGTCGGGAAGATGCGGATGGACGACCCAGCAGAGTACGCGCCCGTCAGCCGCTCCTCCGCCGGTCGGGGCGACGGGGATGGCTCCAGCGGACGGCCCTCCTCCCGAGCTAACGGTGGTGACACTCGCAAACCGGCCCCGCCGGCTCCGGCCCGAGTGGAGATCCCAACCCACAGTGCCACCATCACTCGCAGGCCGGTGCCGCCGGGCGCTCCGCTGGCGGTGACACCCACCTGGGTGTCCGGCCTGGCGCGGTTCTACGTGCAGCGGTGCCCGGCCGAGCCGGAGTTTACGAGTCTGATGGAGGAGATGCAGAGGTTCTACAGCGGACTGCGGGCGGAGGATGGACAGGAGACCCAGCCGCAGACTGGACGACCGGTGGCCGCCAGGTGCGTACGGGGAGGGGAGGGAGAACGGATGGGAGTGTGTCTGGAGGGTGGGTAAGTGGGAGGCCGGGTCAGTCGAGACTGAGGGCTGAGCGATGGTTCTATTGTTTAGGAAAGAACAGGGTCTGAGACAAATTACGTACCGAATGTAGTAACTGACGGTATTGCGCGCGTGCGAACTTTTTGACGCTTTGCGGGAAGCCTTTGCAACTAGCAACTAGGCACACACTAGGTTTTTGACATCTTCCCCAAGTTATCAGATGGTGCCATCACTGGCATTGATTCTTTCTGTTCTGGATCTGATCCGACCTTACCAGCTTGTCCTAGGTTCATCGACAATCGCGTATGTAGGGACTGGTACCGTGCTCTGACCCTATTCTGACCTGTCCTGACGTACCCTGACCGTGACCCAATCTGCACGGCCGGGCCTGACCTCACTCGCCTTGACCGTTCCCTGACTTGACCCTAACCTTTCCCGGCCCGGCTCGCAGGTTCACGGACGGCGCCTGGTACCGCGCTCTGGTTCGCTCCGTCTCGCCCTCCGAGCTACGGGTACTGTTTGTTGACTACGGGAACTGCGAGGTGGTGCCCCGCCGAGAGGTCAAACGGCTCAAGGAGGAACACTGCCGGCTGCCCGCGCAGGCCTACAGGTTAGTGGATACGCGCCGGTGTCCTCTGATGACCGGAGGGGCATGGTGGGGAAAAGGAGGTGAAGGACTCGATCAAAATATGACGTAGACTTACGTGATGGAAAGTTGGCGTATTGTAATGTGAAGCTTGGCTTCACCAATCCGTCTGGATTTCCAATCGCATCAGAAGTAAGCGGGCGCGAGATGTTAAACATTACGATGTGCAGTCGCATCCCTTTCTTATGTTTGGTTTGTTGGACTTGTGATGGTAATTTGTATGGGTTCTCACTGATCTCATTTGTCTTTCTCCGTTCGTACTCTGTGAGTCATGGATCGGCCGAAGTGCGATCCACAGCACCCTGTAGGAGTCCCTGGCTGATCTCCCCGTTTGTTGCCCTCAGCTGCCGCTTCGCCGGTGTGGAGCCGGCCGGCGGACAGTGGAAGACACTCGACGAGAAACAGCTGGCCAAGTACTTCAACGGAGACATGACGGTAAGGACATAGTGACACTGGCGGGGTGAGTGTGAGACGGATCAGGCCTATTGCCCGATCTCGCCAGTCGTGGGTTGGATGTTAGGAATCAGGAAAGGGGGATGCTAGGAACGGGAACGAGTGGTGCTGGCAGCCATCCAATGGTAGTGCTAGTCTTGTTCTATATTATAAACGTTTTGCGCGTTTTGCCGGATTCTGCTGCGCTATAGCATGTGGCTTTATTGGGCTCGTCTTAATGCATTTGAGTTCTTCATTTATACAGCAAAAAACCACGACGTGATTGGCAACTCAACACCTTTGACGTGATCCGACCTGGACTCTTAGATAAAGGGTTATGTTACTCACCTCTACGTCGACCGGACGCATCTGACCCTTCTCTCTTCACGTCCTACATTTGCAGGTGACAGCGTCATCCGACGCCTCTGGCTCTGTTACTGCCGTGGAGGTGACCCTGTCGGGTCAGAAGGTCACTGACATGCTGGTGGCAGACGGCCTGGCCGTCAGACCCCAGCCCGGACAGACTCTCAAACAGCAGCGTGAGTGGTGGCGTTTGGACAGGGAAGGGAAATAAGATGCACACGAAATGTAAGATAATATGGTTGGATGTGCCAGATTGTGTTTTGTAGATAGTATAAGACGAAGTTGTTGCCAATTGGTTCGCCCGTCTTCAGAGAGGGTGACGGTATGTAATCTTGGTTGTCTCTAGTGTAGGCAATAATGCCAACAACACTGCTTAGCACCCGGACCATATTGGTGTTTCGTGAGCATGATTCAATCAGCCAGTAACTTCACCCTTTGTGTGCTCTGTTCAGAAATCGCTAACATCGCCCTGAGCCACAACCGCAGTGTCCGTACCGTACCGCACAAATGTGTCACTCTTCCGACCGATCCTGTGGTGACCGCTCTCTGGACTCTGTCCCCACAGACCTGGGTCCATTCACCGGCCTGCCAAACCCGTTCCGTTCGGGCGACAAACTGGCCGTGTTTGTGTCGTACATCGTCACTCCTGACCGACTGTACTGCCAGCTGAGTGAACGGGCCGCCGACATCGAGCAGCTCGAGACACAGATCGAAACGGCCGTGGCCGACGGAGGAAAGGTACGGATGGTGGTGGGGCTGAACGGAGCTCTTTTGTCCTTTGTTACAACTTGCTTCAGTTGTGAATATTTGATATGGCAAGTGTTCGCTGCTTGATACTGGGGTTGGCTCTTAAGTCTGTTATATAACAGCTTAAAGCATTTATTTTTGCATCTTTGCTTCCAAGGCATTCGACTGACAGGCAGTGGTTGCTCCGCTGGCCGGTCTTGTCGTGGTTTCGCCCCTTCCCTGGTGGCCGCGGTTGTTGTGTTAGCTTTTGGAGCTTTTGATCGATGTCTGTGACACCTGCTGCCTCCTCAGCTGCTGGGCGGTTCGGCTGCGGCCGGCGCCGGCTGCCTGGCTCCGTTCGACGGCTCCTTTTACCGCGGCGTGGTGGTGGAGAGGACCGGAGACGACGCCGCCGCCGTCCACTTTGTCGACTACGGGAACACGGAAACCGTGCCGGCGGCCGAGGTAAATATGTATGGTATACTGGGAGGGGGCGAAAAACGGGGACTGGACTTCTGATCCTCCCACCGTTTTGTCCATTTTCCATCAGTCAATTTCTTCTCCACGCCTCAACCCCCTGCTCCGGCCTGGACGGTCACCTTCATCAGACGCGAGCGGCTTCTCCGAAGCGGTCCCATCGTGCAGTGGGATGACCGTTGGCGGGGTTGGTCGGCCTGTCCAGTGTCCATGTGACGGCCTCAGCCCCGACGGCGCACCAGGGTGGTCGTGCGGGAGCCTAACGTCCCTCCTATTCGTTTTGTCATTTATGCTTGTGAATTTCTGTAATGCTTGACTTGTACCAACTTCCCACTAGGTGCAGGTTTATTCTCCCTGTCTAACACGTTGAATCTCCCGCTAGGCTGTTGCTGGAGTAGGTATGCCAGCTGCTGTCTAACCCGTTCTCTATCCCACCAGCTACTGGAGTGTCCCGAGTCGCTGCGTCGGCTGCCGGCCCAGGCCATCCGGCTCTCACTGACCGGGGTCCCCAAGGACCGCACCGACGACCTCACGGCACGCGCTGACCAAATGGTAAGACGCTGACGACACTAAACCAGCAGCAATGATGTGACTGGCCGAAGTCTGTCGTCCAAACGTAGCACTACGATATTCCTGCCTCTCAACCGTCAAGAATGTTTGTAGCGTGGACGTTCTACCGACCAGTGCCATAATATTCTCCTTTCAGGAGTTTGTGGCCCGCGTGGACGTCGTCTGCCCCGACCACCTGAATGTGACGCTCTTCGACGGAGAGACCAACGTGAACGTCGAGCTGGGAGCCTCGGACGTCCCGGCTCCTGCCGCTCCTGCTCCCACCCCGGCCGCTGCTCCGGCTCCGACATCTGCCGCTACGCCCCAGAAACGTGAGTACTAGTACCATAAGAACAGTGAGAAGACGTGAGTGAGTAGCAGAATATGAGTTATCGTGTCTTCATGCTAGAGGCGGATCGGTGATTTGTGAGAAGTTCACATTCGCATATTGTTTTCTATTGTTTTCTGCACCTAATTCCACCTAGCGGTTGTCACGCAGCGCAGGTGACCTTTAATCAGCTCCTGCTCCGTACCGTGCTGGTGCGTGGAGCCTTTGACCCCGTCCCCTAGCCCTGGAGCTGAATACAGTTCCACCATACTGTGTTACAGACCTGGGTCCATTCACCGGCCTGCCGAACTCGTTCCGTTCGGGCGACAAACTGGCCGTGTTTGTGTCGTACATCGTCACTCCTGACCGACTGTACTGCCAGCTGAGTGAACGGGCCGCCGACATCGAGCAGCTCGAGACACAGATCGAGACGGCCGTGGCCGACGGAGGAAAGGTACAAAATTGTTGGACGGGATGGGTTGGTTCGGTGCCCTTGATGACCCGCGGCCTGCCCAGTGCCCAGCTGAAATTAATCTTTTTTGGGTAATTTGAAAATTGGTTTGCTCGTTGTTAGGAGCTCGATGGAAGGCCAAGTTAAAAATTGAAGATAAAGTACTAATTTCCGCATATCTGATTGTTCCATGGGCACAAGTTCTACTAATTCCTTCACCACTTTGGGCCCCTGGAAGTCTCCTGTCCTGTCGCGACTGTGGCCCTGCTTTGCCAGCCGCGGTCGACAGTTGTAATGTGTGGCGCGCTCACTAGATGTCTCTCCTCAGCCGCTGGGCGGTTCGGCTGCGGCCGGCGCCGGCTGCCTGGCTCCGTTCGACGGCACCTTTTACCGCGGCGTGGTGGTGGAGAGGACCGGAGACGACGCCGCCGTCCACTTTGTCGACTACGGGAACACGGAGACCGTGCCGGCCGCACAGGTAGGACCAAGAGGCGAGGTACCGGCGCGGCGGTACAGAAAACTGTGCCACCGGTACTGGACTGGATGTCGGTGGAATGGGAGAGGGCATCGTTCCGTCGTTTCTATTCTTAGAACATTCAAATCCTTCTCCTCCACACCTCAACCCCCTGTTCCGGGCTGGACGGGCAACTTTATCTCATGCGGGAATGCCCATAAGAGCACGCCCGTAGCCGGGACGTGCGGTGAGTGCTTCGGGGGCTGGTCAGCCTGTCCTCTGAACGGACTCGGCTCTGGCGACTCACCAGGGTGCCCGCCCAGACCCATGTCTCCTCCTAATTCCTATCATCCTTCCGGTCCTGAAATGGTCTCGTCAGACCGAAAGGGGCAAGGGCCTAACCCAACAAAAAAGGGTGGGATGGGGGACCGCCAGTACGCCATTCGTGTTCTTCATTCGTCCTCGCCATCCCTGGACAAGCCCATCCGCATCCGCCGTCACGCTTCCCTCTCCGGGCTGGCGGTCGCCCCCACCGGCACCAGGTAACCGGTGTTGAGGGCACTCCTCATTGGATTACACTCTCCGGGGTGACCCTTTTTAGCTGCAGAGTGGGCTTTCCCATCAGGACATTTCCGTCCCATCGAAGGGTCTCTGCCGCTGCGGCGCGCCGTCGGTGGTCCGCACAGTCCAATCTCTCCGCCCTGTATCCCATATTATCCCATAACTCTGCAATGGCCTTGTCATTCCGAAAGAGCTTGCTGATTGCTTCTAGCAAAAATAAAACTTACATGGAATAACAGTTAATCTTGTTTCATATTTGCCTTCCAATAGGGTGCTCAAGATATCGGAACACGGTTCTCGTATTAATGTTTATTCTTCTGACATTGAAGTTTCCCCGTCTAATCGGTCGAATCTTTTGCCAGCTGCTGGAGTGTCCCGAGTCGCTGCGTCGGCTGCCGGCCCAGGCCATCCGGCTCTCGCTGACCGGGGTCCCCAAGGACCGCACCGACGACCTCACGGCACGCGCCGACCAAATGGTAAGACGATAGTCAAAGCTTGTCACAGGATGCGAGGCTTGGTGCCTGTGAATGTTGCTTCTCCACTTACGGAATATCTTCAGTTGACAGTAATGATGATCAAGAACTTTGAAGTCGCTGGGTCATCAACCAGCCGTGTTCGGCATGCCACTCGGGCTTATGTGCCTCATACTTGTATTTTGGCTTAACGTTTGCTGCTCATGAACGTCTCCACCGACCCCCTGTCTAAACCACTGACATGTTCTTTTTCACAGGAGTTTTCTGCTCGCGTGGACCTCGTCAGCGCCGACCACCTGAATGTGACGCTCTTCGACGGAGAGACCAACTTGAACGTCGAGCTGGGAGCCTCGGACGCCCCGGCCCCGGCTCCCACCCAGGCTCCGACTCCTGCCGCTCCTATCCCGACTCCGGCTTCTGTCGCTCCGAGCCCGGCACCGGCCGCTACACCATCCGCGCCTCAGAAGCGTGAGTAGTAATTGGGGTCGCGAGTATTTGTGGCATATGTGATCGGCAAGATGTACGCTAGCTGTCAATGAGCGGTGTATTTGGGCGCAAAATGACATTGTAGTCGGCGCGCCCTTAAGCCCCAATAAATAAACAATGAGCGGTGTTTTTACGTACTCACTAGGGCCGCTAAGGCGCGGTCATCCACTCAATTGCTCTCTTTTAGAGAGAATGCATCTCTCCTCTTTGGTGGGCAGAGTTCATTATAAAGAAAACATTCCACTCTTGTCACAAGGGTGGAGGGGTGTGACGTCCATGTTATTTTATCAGACCGAAATTCACGTCCTGTTTCCTGTCATTCTCATGCAGCGATACTTAGTGTAGCATTGCGCACCACTGAGCAGTCCCCACACTGTGCTGATTTAGCCAGACCGGCGTGTCAGCAGCGTCTCCACGTCTGCTTACATGCCTGGGTCCGTTAACGTTTTGTGTTCTCTCATTGACCCCGCTCTGTGTCGTTCCAACAGACCTGGGTCCATACACGGGCCTGCCGAACCCGTTCCGTTCGGGCGACAAACTGGCCGTGTTTGTGTCGTACATCGTCTCTCCTGACCGACTGTACTGCCAGCTGAGTGAACGGGCCGCCGACATCGAGCAGCTCGAGACACAGATCGAGACGGCCGTGGCCGGCGGCGGAAAGGTACGGATGGCGAAGGGACTGAGAGGGTCACTAGCCTGCTTTTTTCGCGAAGGCTTCGGTAAAAAAAGTAAATGTGTGGTTTGGCAGAGGTGTGTCCGTTACTGGCCGGGGCTCGAGTAAAGATTATAATTCAATATTGATGAATGGCGTTTTCACCCTCGTCTCTAATGTTATCATGTTTCTATGGCTTTTTTTGGAGAGGGAAAATACTAATACTGTTTAATCTGCTTTGGACCCTGCCTCAGTGTCCGGTAGTGTCGTAATTTCGCCCCTTCCCTGGCGGTCGCGGTTGTTAGTGACTAGTGTTAGTCTATGAATCGCTCGCTAGATGTCTGAATCTTGTCCCCCTTAGCCGCTGGGCGGTTCGGCTGCGGCCGCCGCCGGCTGCCTGGCTCCGTTCGACGGCACCTTTTACCGCGGCGTGGTGGTGGAGAGGACCGGAGATGACGCCGCCGTCCACTTTGTCGACTACGGAAACACGGAAACCGTGCTGGCGGCTGAGGTAAGGGGCGGGGACCCCTGGTAGATAGGTAGTTTGCTATTGAACTAGCACAATGCCTCCTTTGCCCCTTTTCCGTCAGCAGCTGCTGGTGAAATCTTGTTTCCGGAGTCTTTATCTTGTTTATGTTTGTTTGCTTGTTTCCTTAATTGGAATTTATGACGTCGTAAAGAATATTGGCAAACTAACAATGTGTATCTTTCTACAATTATAGTGTCTTGTCTGACCCGTCTGACCCAGTGAATCTCCCACCAGCTACTGGATTGTCCCGAGTCGCTTCGGCGGCTGCCGGCCCAGGCCATCCGGCTCTCACTGACCGGGGTCCCCAAGGACCGCACCGACGACCTCACGGCACGCGCCGACCAAATGGTAAGACGGAGATGTGATCTTAGTGTTCAGGACTGTCATACCCGAAGTTAGCTTTAGGTTTATTTACTTTGCAGCACTAGCTTTGCGGTGATCAGTCATTCAGTGAGGCGCAGAATGCAGTTTGACTGGATGATTGAGAGATCCCGGATCCTGGCCGCACCGTCTTTCATCTTTTTTTTTCCTGGAACCGAATATAATGCTTAGGTATAACTTCATATAAGGCCCAAGGACGGGGAACTCGTTAAGCTCTGTTGTATGAAGTGTGCCTTGTGGACCTTGCGCTCTGGTCGTACCTTGTGGACATTTTTACCAACCTCGTACTGACTGACATGTTCCTCTTCAGGAGTTTTCTGCTCGCGTGGACCTCGTCAGCTCCGACCACCTGAATGTGACGCTCTTCGACGGAGAGACCAACGTGAACGTCGAGCTGGGAGCCTCGGCCACCCCGGCTCCTGCCGCTCCGGCCCCGGCTCCTGCCGCTCCGGCCCCGGCTGTGGCTCCCGCCGCTCCGGCTCCCACCGAGCCCCAGAAGACAGTGACGGCGCCCCAGGCGGAGCAGCCCTCGCCGGCTCCGGAGACTCGTCCGGTGGCTGTGTCCTTCACGGTGTCTCCGGGCGAGTTTTACGTGCAGGACGCGGCGGCGGCCGATCAGCTGGACGAACTGATGGCCCGTCTGGAGACTGAGTACACCAAGCTGGCGGACGGCGAGCGAGCTGTCAACGAGGTGAGTCTCCTGATCGGCCGGCCGGCCAGGCTGGGCACTGGGGTCTTTTGAGGCAATTTTCCGACATTAGCCTGCAGACATTGTAGACAGATTGTCTGCGCAGTTTGCTAAATATGAGTGTTTCATGTCAATGAAGGGAAATATGATTAAATGCTTACCGCTTATAATTTCCTCGGATCGGGTTGAAACTTTTAACAGGCATTTTGATTGTTCCACTCCGCTCAAGTGTTCTGTGTTTTTCATCGAAGCCCAATCACCTACAATGTACTCGTGCGTATCTCAGTAACAGCCGTGTTCAGTTTCACACCCAGCGTGTCCTGTGCCCTGACAGGTGCAGCCGGGAGACCTGTTGGCGGCGCCTTTCTCAGAGGACGGCGCATTCTATCGTGCGCGTGTGCTGGCCGCCGACTCCGCCGACACCTCCCAACTACACCTCCAATTCATCGACTACGGCAACAGCGAGCGGTGCGCGCGCTCCGCCTGCCGCCTGCTCACACCGCCTCTCCTGGCTCCGGCACCGTTTGCTCAGCGGTGCCGGCTGGCGGGCGCTGCGGCCCCGGCCTGCGGCTGGACGGCGGAAGCGGCGGCGGCTCTGGATACGCTGACAGGCGCGCCGGATGGCCAGGCGAAAATGGTGACTGTGAGCGGCGCCGGCGACTGCTGGACGGTGAAACTGATCGGACTCGGCGGCGAGGATGTGGCCAAGGCTCTGGTAGAGGCCGGGCATGCGACTGAGGAGAGAGAGAAGAGTGACGAGAAGGTAACTGATGCTCCGACAGAGAGAGTAGAGGAGGCGCCGCGGGCTGAACCACCGGCGGAAGTGGCGAGTCTAACTGACCTGGTGCCGGGCCATTCAGCGGCAGTCGCCGTGTCCTTCTCCGTGGGTCCCTGCGAGTTCTGGGTGCAGCTGCTGTCCAACTCTGCGCGCCTGGATACCCTGGCCGAGGCCCTGGAGGCGGCCGGTGAGCTGGAGCCGAGCGGCGAGCTGCCTGTAGCCGAGAGTCCCGCCGCCGGTCAGCTGGTGGCCGTCAGGTACTCGGTAGACTGCGCCATGTACCGCGCCCGACTCCTGCCCGACTCCGACTCTGCCGAGTCGCGCCGAGTCCTGTTCGTTGATTACGGTAACACGGAGTCGGTGCCGGTTGGTGAGCTGCGCTGTCTGCCGCCGCAGCTGACAGAAGAGCCACTCCTGGCAGCGCGCTGCTCTCTGCCGCTGCGGGTGACGGAGGGTGCAGAGACTGCAGCTGCCGAGCGATTTGTCGAGCTAGCCGACAGCGAGCTGGAACTACAGATGACCCTAGTCGCCGCGGGAGACCCTGCGATCGTGACGCTGTCACACGAGGGCCGTGACTTGGCCGGAGTACTGGTGGAAGAGGGACTGGCCGTGCCCGTGGAGATGACACAGAAAACGGAAGAGACCCGTGAAGACAAGACAACAGACACTGATGGTGACGCGAAGGTGAACCAGAATCAAGAGAACACGGGTGATCCGGCGGCAGAATCCCGACTGGATGATCCCGGGGATCACGAGGTGTTTGTGTCGCACGTCAACTCGCCACTCGAGTTCTACGTCCAGTCTCCCGACACGACCGCTCTGGATGATCTGATGGAACGCCTGGCGGCCGCGGCTGCTTCCCTGGCGCCCGCCGAGCCGCCGTTCGAGCCAACTGACCTGCTGGCGGCGCCTTTCTCCGAAGACGAAGCCCTGTACCGCGCCCGGGTGGTGTCCACCAGCGACGACCGCGCTCGGGTTCAGTTTGTCGACTACGGTAACGGTGAGGAGGTGGAAGCGGCAGCTCTGCGCCGCCTGCCGGCCGAGCTCAGCGAGTTACCCCCACAGGCGCTCCGCTGCCGCCTGCCAGTAGAGGCGTGCGCCGCCTCTGCCGTCGGCCGGCTCCGCGAGCTGACAGAAGAGGGCGCTCGCCTGAGGCGTCTGGCCGCGTCCGCCGACGCGGACGGCCCGGTGGCGCTGGTGCGTTTAACGGTCGACGGACGAGACGTGGCCGAGACACTGGCCGCGGACGGGCTCTGCCGACTGGCCCGGCGTCTGACACTGCCGCCGGCACTGATGCCACAGCTCGATACAGACATGGAAGCATCCGTGACGTTTGTGGGTACAGAAGAGGTGTTTGTGATGCTCTCTGATGACCGGACTGCCCTCGGGGAACTGCGACAACTGATCGCCGAGCTGTATGGTGACGCCGATCCGCCGCCTCCTCTGGCCGCCCCGGCTGCTAGCGACCTGTGCGTGGTCCAGGATACGAACGGAGGCTGGAACCGCGCCACTGTCCTGACGGTTGGCGCTGAGAACACGGCACGCGTGCGACTGGTCGACACCGGCTACATCCTCGAGGGTGTGGCTCTGTCTGATCTGCGGCAGCCACTGCAGGCCGTGGCGCTACCGCCGCCGCTGGTACATCGCTGCCACCCGGCGCCGGACTGTGACAGTCCTCGGCTGGCGGAGGCGAGCTCTTTGGACGGGTTAGTCACCGTTCGATTTACGGCTGACGGAGATCGTCTGATGTTGCACCTCGTCACCGCCGGGACTCCTGCCGCGCCAGAGGTGTCCTCCGCCGGACAAACGACCGAACAGCCCGCCGCTGAGGAGGGCACGTCTCCTGCCTCGCCGGAGGTGTCCGCTGTTGGACAGACGAGCGAAGAGCCCGCCTCTGAGGAGGGCACCACGACGGAACGTCAGGAAGATGAGTCGGACTCCGCCGCGACTCCGCGCGGACGACAGTACCGCGATGAGAAGATCGTACCCGGTCAGATTTCGTTCTCACTGATTGTCCCACCGACGCTGAAGGAAGAGGAACCTGCCCGTGACTCCCAAGTTGACCAGCCGACCCCTGCGCCGGCCCCGGCGGAGCAGCTGACCCCTGCCCCGGCTCCTGCGGAGCAGCTGACCCCTGCACCCGTCCCCCCGGCAGAAACGCAGGTCGCCACGGCTCCTGACGGTACCCCACTCGGTCGGCGCATCAGTCATGAGTTCAAGATCGTGCCCGGTCAGATCTCGTTCAGTCTTCTGTCTGAGCCGGAGACGAGGGAAGGCTCTGAGCCAACGGCGGACGAGTGCTCGGCTGGTGAGAAGAGCCAGTCCGTAGACGGAGTGGAAGACGCCGGGGAGATCGATGTTGAGACTTCGAAGACTGAGAGTGCTGCTCCGGCCGAGGATGGTGGAGTGGAGGCCGATGCTGTCGCAGAGGCTATGCCAGAAGACGCTGAGATCGAGGCTGTGCCAGAGGACGCTGCGGTAGAGGCTACGCCGGCAGATGCGGCTGAGGTCGGGGCTGCGTCAGCAGATGCTGCGGCAGAGGCTATGCCAGCAGATGCTGCGGCAGAGGCTACGCCAGCCGACGCTGAGGTTGAGACTACGCCAGCTGTCGCTGAGACAGAGGCTAAACCGGAAGACGCTAAAGTCGAGGCTACGCCAGCTGTCGCTGAGGTCCAGGGTATGCCAGAAGACGCTGCATCTGAAGCTGAGGCGGCAGAGGCTATGCCAACAGACGCTGAAGCCGAGGCTACGCCAGCCGACGCCGAGGCCGAGGCTACGCCAGCGGGCGTCGAAGTATCGCCGATAGGTGGTGAAGTTGAAGTCAAATCCCCTCCAGTGGAAGCTGGGCTCGAAACTACGTCAGTGGAAGCTAATGCTGACGTTACGCTGTCAGACCCTGAAGCCGAGGGTTCATCCGCCGCCGTGGCTGAGGCGGGGCTGGTGACAGTCGAAGCTGAAGAGGAGTTTGTATCAGCGGATGAAAACGATGATATGATCCTGGTAGTGTCGGAGGAGGATGACACACCTCCCGGAACGGAAGCCGAGGCCGTGACAACTGACGGCAAGCTGAATGTGAAACCATGTGAGACGGGATCTGCCGAGGTGGAGTCTGCTGTGTCAATGACCGAACCTACACCAGTTGAGGCTACACCAGCCGAGACCGAGATTGCACTAGCCGAGTGTACACCAACCGAGGCTACGCCAACAGAGTCTGTGCCGGCTGAGACTACGCCAGCCGAGCCCACACCAGCCGAGAGTGTCCCAGTCGAGGCTACGCCAGACCAGACTCGACCGACCGAGCTTACACCAGCCGAGGCTGCACCAACTGAGTCTGAGTGTACGCCAGCCGAGTGTACACCATCCGAAGCTGTACCAACCGAAGCTGCACCAACCGAAGCTGCACCAGTCAAGAGTGCACCAGCTCGGGCTACACCAGCTGAGAGTACACCAACCGAGAGTGCACCTGCAGCCGAGACTGCACCAGCCGAGCCCTCGGCGAAGACGACACAACCGGAGACTCTGGCAGAGACTACATCACCTGAGGCTGTGGCAGAGGCTAACGAGGCTGTAGCAGAGGCTACCACAGTCGAGGCTGTGATCGAGGCTACTCCAACAGAGGCTTCAACGGAGGACGCCTTAGATGTTGCTGTGATCAGCGCTTCTGAGGCTATATTTAAGCCAATGCTGATGGAGGTTGCAACAGAAGCCGCTCCTGAGGCTGCCACAGAAGCCGATCCTGAGGCTGTGACTGGAGCTGCCCCTAAAGCTGTGACCGAGCTAGCTGTCCGAGTGGAGACTGTGATTGAAGCCGCTCCTGAACTTGTAACTGGGGTTGCTTCTGAGGCTGTGACCGACGCCACTCCTGAGACGGTAACGGAAACTTCCACGGAGGCTGTGCTGGAAAGCGCTCCCAAAGCTTTGACTGAGGCTGCTCCCGAGACTGCGACGTCGGCTACTAGTGAGACCCTGGCGCCGGCCCCCAAAGCCGAAGCCTCACCAGTGGCAGGACATGCCTCAATGGACGCCAAAGTGACAACGAATGAAGACGCGACTAGTGCAGTCTCCGACAAAGAAGACGTCAAGCCGCTGACGGTAGAGACGGCTGAGGAGGGCACTGAGCCTCGGCCGGCGCGGGAGACTGAAGAAACCGTCGCTGATGTCCAAGAAGAGCCTGTGGTGTTTGTCTCTGACACCCTGGATAATGCAGTCGAGGATCAAGTCCGGTCACCGGACGGACAAGAGGAGACAGCCGCGGTGGCTGGTGGGCATGATGAACCAGCAAAGTTCACTGAACGGCCGGACGATCCCTCCGAGAAGACCGTCGAGACTTCAGAGAAGCCGGCTCAACCATCAGGCGAGACTGTCACGTCCTCGACAGAAGAGCGCACCGAACCATCTGTTGAGCCCGTCAGTGCCTCAGGGCTTCCCATCGAACCCATCAAGACCGCAAAACCTACAGACGAGTCGGCTACAACCAAGGAAAAGGTAAACCCTAAACCCTCCAAAGAGTCTCCAATGCTCGCTGATGACTCCAAAGAGTCTCCAGTGCTCGCTGATGACTCCAATGAGTCCCCAGCGTGCGCCGACGACTCCAAAGAGTCTTTGGTGCTCGCCGACGCCCCGGCGGAAGCTTCCGCTGGAGACCCCTCCGCGCACTCCGCGGAGACCGTAAAGCCCTCGCCGGAGCTGCTGAAGGGCGCCGCCGCCGGCCGGCAGGGCGCAGGCGATTCGTCCTCCGAGGCACGCCGGCCCACGGAGGTCGGCACTGATACCGTATCGGACAGCGGTGACGCGGACTGTGTGTGAACCGAGGACAGTGAAAGGGCTCCCAGTGCCGGTGAGTGAACGGGGCTCCCGCCTGCCCCGCGGACCGAGGGACTGACGAGTGATGGAGAGGGGCGGGCACATTGCGAGCTTAGTGTGTTCTCGTTGATTGATATGAAGGCGTTCGGTTAGTCCAGAAGTGCTTTGATGAGGGCCGCGGAGGCTGTGTATATATAGCGGCGCATTGATAGTCACTGCTCGAGTCCTGAGTGTTTGCGGTTCATGCTTCAGGGAATGGAGTACAAAGGCAGGCAGTGCATATACATAGAACTGTTAACCAAGATTTGTATTTTGTTAAAAATAAAACAAAACGTTTTCTGCACGTCTCGTGTTCATTGAATGGATAACAACGGAACTGCGCATTAGAGTAATCTATAGGATGCGGAATAAAAATCACTGTCAGTTGCTTTTATTGCGGGTGGTAGCGGCACATCACTTTGGCAAACTACCGACATCTTGATCTCCTTGATCAGTCTACTGATGATCGTATCGATGTTAGTCTTTCTTTGGTGGTGAGCTCTGACCTCTTCAGTGTCCCCTGACGAACTTGGCCGAGCTGTACGTCAATACTGGGGCCGCGTTGTACAACCTTTCCAAATACGGGTCACACTGCGTCGGGCATTGGGGACACATCACTACCTGACTGGCCAGTTTTTAGCGAGCAGTTTATCCCAGAAGTGAGAGCGGTGCGCCTCCCACTCCTGTTCCATTCTGATATGCTCCGTGTAGGTGATCTCGTGCGTGAACAGCCGTGAACACATCCAGACGTGTCTCTGTGCGTCCGAGGTCCCTCGGGGAGGCAGCGGGGACTGATCACCGGGCCAGTTCCACTTCCACCCGCGGCACTGAGCCGCCCAGTGCTGCACCCGCGCGCGCAGCGTGGCCAGGCCGGCGCGTATGTGTGCCGTCCCGTAGTCCCTCAGCTGCTGTCTCAGCCGCTGATAGAAGTGGTGGTAGACGGCCGTATCTATCTGCAGATGGTGCCGCAGCTGCCGCCGAAGCGTGCCGTTGTGTGTGGCAGCCGAGCGCAGCCAGGGTGGCCGCGCGTTGTGTCTAAACACCACAACATCGTCCCATTCCAGACAGAGACGGTATTTGAGCAGGACGAGCGACTCGTCCAGCAGTTCGGCGATGAGGACGAGATCGAAGCGTTGGTGCAGCTGGGTGAGGGTGTCACCCAGCAGCTGGTCGTCTGACATCAGGGTCCGCACGTCCAGACCCAGGTCGAACGACATCTGGTTGGGGCGGAAATGGGTGATCCCCAGCGGCTCGTACTGGGTGGTGGAGGCGGCGAACTCCGCCAGCGTCATGTTCCACACCTCCTGTAGCCGGTAGTACTCGAACATGGAGATGAACTGGTCGGCCGGCCGGCGCAGCACGGCCAGCCAGGTGGCGTTGGGACCGAGCACCTGTCAGTGGGGCAGGGTGGGTTATGGAGGGGCAGGGTTGCATCATTCTGAGCAACAGGGTGGCGAACGGCCGAGTGAAGGACGGTCTACAGCCTAGAAACGAGATAACAAGGCATACGCTAGCAACTTGGGTCTACGCTTCTACGGTGTGACTTTATGAACAAAACAACTTTTTTATCATGTCAGTGACTGATAAGGCCTAACCCAACTGCATGTTCACATTCATTTTTCACCTTCCAGCTCTGCAGCCCCAGCTAACTCTTAAGGCCTGGCTACACTATGCGTTTTCTGCGTGCGTTTTTTGCGGGTTTGCGTTTTTTGCCTAATATCGTTGTAGAAAAAAGTAAAAAATAATATAATTTTTACATTAGTTATATGCAGAAGTTAATATAACTCATATTTTTACTAAAATTGAATATAAAAAACATCACATAAACGTAATATCATTTATTTTTCTAGAACGATATTACGCAAAACCCGCAAACACGCAAAAAACGCACTCAGAAAACGCATAGTGTAGCCAGGCCTTTATGCCGTCGTGCGCCACGAGAAGCAGCTGGTGAATGCCCCGGACCCCGTGATCGCCGTGTCACTGACCTTCATGACCTGTTCCTGGTCGAGTCTCAGATGGTGCGCCATCAAGCGGTAGGTGGTGTTGTGCGCGCCCAGAGGCCGGTGCACCATATGCGCTCTGAAGTGCCGGGGGTGACCGAAGTAGTTTCCCGTCTCCGGCAGCGCCACCGGCATGTCCAGCCGTTCGGCCAGGCGGAACAGCATGTTCTGGATGCTGCTGCTGGCGCACTTGTGCACCTTCAGGAAGAAGATGGCCGATGGAGGGTGGCAGACGAACATGTGCCTGAGGGGGAGAGAAAGACAGGTTAGCCACGAGAGTACGAATTAGTCGAGCAATCTTGGGCTAGCACTGGGATCATTGTTAGCGTGCTGATGTAGCTTTGATAGCTAAACTTAACACAGAGATGGTGAATCACAAGTCGGTTCTGGCTATTTCTGATATTTGTGTCGTGACACGGCTGCGACACCCAAAACTGTTTGATATATTCCCGGCCCCTCAGCTGCAGCGAGCTGTCCTACTGACGACTGCTCTGCAGCGCGGTGCCCTAAGCAATATGGTGATGATACATGATGTAAACATCGGCTCGTAATTGCTCAACTCGGTCTGCGACTTTAATCTAAAAGATTGTAGCGTAGGTAAACAAGCATTAAATTATTTGCTGCCAATGTTCAATAGACGTCTCGTGATACTGGGTTATTATTCCTACTCATATTATATATATTATATATATTATAGGCACTCATTTGGGACGTTTCCTCAAAACTTACTCGTCATTTTCTTCCAGCTCGAATGCGTAGAAGATGGTCAAAAGTGCAACGAAGACCGACAGCACGCATACCAGAGTAGCGAACGCCTTTCTTCTCTGCGTCACAAAGCCTTTTGTCGTGCTTGCTGTTACCTTAGGACCATTTTTCGACTTAGTCTTGGTAGACTTCAGAGTTGTTGACATTTTCTCGATTCTGTAGGGTGGATAACGAATTTGCTCCGACTATTCGTCGCTCACATGTGATCAACTCACTTTAACGGTGTTTAACAATGATTAAGAAATCATGTGAGCAATGACGTTTTGTCTAGGTCTTTTAAACGCATGGGACTATTTTCTCATATATGATGCGCTACTTTATTCGAGTTAATTTTCAGTTGCAAAGCTTACCTTAAGTTTTACTATTTACTGCAAAGCGATGATGAAAAGCGGTGAAGCCGCAGAGGTCACTCCGGCTTCATGCTTCGCAAATTAATTGAGTTTGCTGCTGGAAAGCTGAGTTGAAAGTAATGCACGGGCTGAACTGCTGCAGAACACCTGCGAGCTTGGGACCGTCCTACAAGTTGCTTACAATCCAACTACAATCGACGGACGATTGCAATCACGAATACGTTCGAAAGTTGCGAGTAGTAATGTAGTCCTACGATCATTTTAATTGCTCGAATTCTTTGTAAGAAAGTCCGGTATTGTAAGCGATGTTCGAGTCCTTGCGTTGACAGAGCGAAACGGCTCTTAAATCGTGTTAGATCTGAAGTTTAATAGTTTTGCGTGTATTCATACGGAAAACGTTCCACAATATGCTATAATGACTCCGGTAATCGCGCTCGTCGTTATTTCTAGGAATGTTTGTAATGAGAAGCGTTGTGGTTATTCGAAGAAAAAGAAAAGTGTTAAATTTGCAAGAGCATTTGCAGTCGTGCTCTTTGCCAGCTTTCTGCGTTCTACGACGGCCTTCTCAGTCATCGGAACGGCGCACTGGAGTCCAGCATTGATCGACGAAGCCCCCGAGCGACTGTGGAACAGCACTCTGTTTGAAACGTTGCCGACCCATCTAGCTTATTATAAACTGCAAAACGAAACATTTCGACCGAACGACACAACTTCGGCGCTGCTGGCTGTAGAAGATCTCACATGTTTGAATTTCACACGAATGTCCGTATCGGTGCAGAAGTGTCGTGATCCGTGGACAATCTGTACGACTCTGGATAAGACGGAATCACTCGTATTCACTTCTTCTGAGTCGGGGCAAAAGCAAATATTTTCATCCCCAGTGTCCGCGCTGGGTATTGCGGCATCAATTTTAGCTTCTCTGGGACTTCGATACGAGCTAAACAGAATGGATCGCGACGAATACATACAGCTTCGACTGGAAATGCTGAGATATGATTTGATGAATCCGAACACACTGCCTGAACGAATGTTTGGCTCTCAGCTGTTTGTGAAATGTGCGAGCATCGATACCCGAAATCCTTTCGATTACTTCTCAATCACTTTTAGTGATTTCGAATCCATTCAGAACGGCGATATTCCCGCTGTTGTTACGAAGGACCCTCACGATATGTGGAAACTCTACGTAAGAATGCCAACAAATCCTCGGCTATCGATATACGATCGTTTTTATCTAACCGAAAAACAATGCTCTAAAGAACTCTCAAAGGACGGCGAGCACTGTAACCCTCACGACTGCCAGCATGGCTTCCTACTACACGACTGCCTCTGCCTGTGTCTGCCCGACTACAGCGGACCAAAGTGCGACACCAAGTTGTCGTCACCAGACTCCTCCTCCAGCCTGGGCTTCTCGCTGCCCCCGTTCCCGATCTCCATCTTCTTCTCCCTGGCCTACGTGCACAGCGGTATGGAGATGGTGGCCGACGCACCGAGCCAGGCTCGCCGTTTCCTGTGGTCTGCCAAAGTGGAGGCTCCGGCTGACCACCGACTCCATCTGGCGCTGTTCCCGACCCACCTCCGCCGTCACCTGGAGCACCGGCCGTCCGACCTGGAGCGGATCCAGACCCGGCTGCTGTACACCCACGCCGGTCCGACTCTGTACCGGGTGCTGCACCTCGCCGATCACCTACCGATCGTGCGTGTGTCGCCTCGTCTCCGCCGGGTGACGCTCCTGCTGCTGGCGCACGGCGACCAGCCTCTGTCACCGCTGCTCTTGGGATCGCCCCTGGTGACCCGTCACGAGCCGGACCCGCGCCTGCACCTGAGACTGGCCCGCTCGCCGTCAGCGCCGTCGGTGCTGCTGGCACAGCTGGTCACCCTGTCCCAGCTGCCGGCAGACGAGCTGACCATGCAGATGGAGACCGAGATGCCTCCTCGGTCCGAGTCGCCGCCGCCGGCCGGCCCGGAGGCGGACCCGCTGCGTCACTACCTGCCCGTGGTACTGGGGATTGTGTGCGGCCTGTGGTTCATCCTGCTGGCTGTAGCCATCCTCTGTTACGTGCAGTCGGAGCGGCGCAGCGCGGCCGAGCCGCCGCCGCCGCCGCCGCTGGCGACTGACGCCACCTCCTGTCATCTGGCTGACTCGGACGAGTCGGGAAGCAGCGGCTCTGCCAGCAGCGCCTCGCCCGGAGGAGGCTCCCTCACCTCCGCGGCCACGACGGTGGCGCCCTCAGACGAAGGTAGCGGCTCCACGCACGTGCAGTTCGCCGAGCCGCCGGTAGATGACGAGGTGGTCGTTTCGACCTCGTCTCAGCACGCCATCGACCGAAGGGCGAGCATGTATAATAGCATTTTTTCGTAACGTAAGCGACGCAGTTTGCAGTGGTGGGATGGTCAAGTAATGAATGCCGGACCCGATGCCTGATGTATACCTAAACGAAGAACCGGAACGTCTATGATTAAACCTACGATGACAGACTATCTATCGAAGAACGGAATGCTCACATAAAATGGTAAAAATATAATCGCAATTGGTGTGATCAGTTGACGTTTGGCCGACATGAATTCCTCTACAATTGAGGATGCATCGAAGCTGGGTAATAATTTATACATTGTCAGGAACACGGATAAGCCACGGACTATGCGGCCACGGATCACGGATAACGCCCAAATGGTTCTCTGCTGTTACAAATGCAAACGATTCAAACTAGTTTTACAACTAGTTTTACAACTTTTACAACCTATATCGAAACTACATCCGTCACCTTGGAGTTTTCAAGTTTCAAGGAAACCCAACCGTTTGACGTCATGCCTGACCGAAATACAAAGTTGTGACGTCACGGGACGGGGAGTTGGGAGTGATGACGTCATTGAATACGCTAGTCTCAGATCCGTGTGTGCAGCTGAACCGGTGGAATATATAATGGGAGCAAGGTCGATCGCAACTATTAATGATTGCGGGGCGGGAACTGGTAATGGGTGCGCAACTACGCAGTAATGGTGCAACACATCCGTGTAGCCAACGCACGAATATCCGTGAAGCTGGCGCCGACTACCGATATTGTGATGGACGGACATGACGCACGAGTCCGATCCCGGAGATCCCCCTTCATTGAACGTCATCGTGGACTTCGTTATGTCGAGGACGGAATAGACGCTGACGATAGACGCGTCGTCTCGTACTCACTCCTCTACCGCGGTGGAGACGATATAACCCTTCCCGTTTCCCTTCTCTTGACCTGAAGTCAACTTTTTAACATCTTTTGAGGTCAAGCATAGACCTCTGTATACAGAGGTCTATGGGCCAAGCTATGGAATCGACGAAAGCAACTCTGTGCTATACCGGCTATAGTAACAAAAATGCCATTTATTGTCTTACTTTTCAGCAATAGGTACTGAAGGAAGAAAAACAATGACGAAGGTAGACAGATTGACAGCATAAATGCAGCGAAGACCTTTCATTAGTGGTTACTTTATAATCGTCATAAAATCGTTATCGTTACTCACTCGTTTAATCGTTAGTAAGTTTGAATTAGACACATGCATTGCCCACAATTAATGCGCCTAATTATAACTTACTAACGATTAAACGACTAGCAATTGACGATTAACAATTTTATGGCGATTATCAAGTACCTACCTAACGATTAACGAAAGTTATCCCGCACCGTAGGCAGTGTTTACAATTCCTTCACATGCAAAAAGAAAAAAATTATCAGGTGTCGTGTAGCTGATTTGTTAAATGTCTAGACGATTAACAAACTGTTAAACGTCTACTTAGTAGACATTTCGTCTAGTCTGAACTGTGTCATATTTCTATATAAAGTGTATTTTTTACTTTATGATTTTTTACTTAATGATGACCTCATGAAAGGTCATCATTAGCTTTGGAGAATGACTTTTTCATAGATACATCATGCGCGAGTGAGAACTAGACGTCCCCGCCCCAATGCATGATCCGGGATCCCGCTGCGCCGCCCTGGCGCCTGGCGGTGGCGTTCTTTTATCAATAGCCCTTTTCGTGATGCGGTATCTCTGCCGGTACCGTTCACGAGTAATAGAACATTTGTCCCAAATAGTCACAACTCACAGTCAGAAAAAAATGATCTGTAATAGCTCCCGGTGGCCTGATTTGTTGGCCTCCCTGACTCATGACTGAAATTGTTTCTTATTGATTTTATACTATCAATTGAACGCTTCCTATCTCTTGTCGTTATAAGGCCGACCAGGCTGGGGTAACGGGAACGTCCCCGCCCCCCCCCCCCCCCACATTACGAGGTGTCACGGTCACTGACCAGTGACCACCGTAGACGTCTTTCTCGAGCTCTTAAGTCATAGACGTCTACGGACTACATTCTGCGCCAGCCGTTTCACGCATCCAATCGTAGCTTTCTCATAAAAAATTAGTGGCAATACGCCAAGGGCTCGGGATGCTGCACCATCCCAAGCATATCTGGAGCGCGTGTCCGCCTGGCGCCTGGGTATCCTCTGGGACCTGCCGAATCCACAACAAACACTTCCCACCGTACAGCCTGGCGCGCTGCGGCGCCGCAGTTTCGAGACTGTACCGTCTCTCTACTACGATCTGTTTTGAACGGGATATGCGTAGTAAATACGGTTCGCCACTCTGCGTGCGCTCAGCTATAAAACAGAGGACCGAACGAGAAAAGCATTATTTATAGTAAGGCGACCACTATAAAACTATTTTGGTATCTATTTCAAAACAAGCATTATCAAACATTGCGTAGAGATTTGAGTAAAATGAGGATTTGTTGTCCCGTGTTTGAGAGCTGAGCGCACCAAATGGGCGGAGCCTCGCCGCTCGTCAATATCATTCAGCGTTGCGCGCGGGACCGCCAGGCGGCGCGTGCGGCGCGCCCCCTATGGCGGCGCGCCAGAACCAGGGCGGGCCGGCGAGCGCCGCTCGTCGAGCGGGCAAGGGTGTAGCGCGGCCGCTGGCTGACCGGCAGGGGGCGGCGCTTCGACGGCGGCCGGCCAGAACTTTCAGTTGGAGAGCGACTGTGGACGTGGATGGGCAGCTCCCGTTTGGTTGAGCTGAGTGTTCACGATTTTTGGGAAAACAGATAGCCAGCAGTAACCTAGGGAGTCGCTGCGTACGACCTAAGGTATGTGTGACTGTCTTTCAGCTTGTAGACGACCCAGTGCACCTTCTGCATGCCTGGACCTGCACTGTCTGCAATTTTTCAATGCGAAACGTTCCCGTGACTGGTCAGTTTCTTGTGCGGCGCCGTGGCTGAAAAAAACTGATGCATGATGAGGCGTTCCTTCTCTACTATTTGCACATCTTCATGACCCATTGCCGCGGTTCGAAAGCTGAAGCTCCGTTAGCCTCTGAAGCACCGTCAGCTGCTTGTGTCGGTTTCACCGAGTCTTGGCCCGGATGTGCGCCGATCCACTAACCGGACCTTTTCATGTTCGTTAACTGTTCATGAGTGAACCTAACACTCGACGTGGTGCTTGTCAGTGTGTTTTCATAGTCGCGGCCGTCATACATGAGGCACCGTCATTCACTCATTCATTCATTCGCTCATTCATTTACACCGTAGTCCCTGTGTGGCCTGTTTCTTGGTTCTTTCATATTCACTTCATATCGGGCAATTTCTAAAAAGCACGATATGCTGCGTGGTACACCAAAGCCTGACCGATATTTGATGACGTCTCCGGTTTCGAGCCGACTACGACCGCTCACAGTTGATTTACCGCGAAGCCGTTTATTTACTCTGTTACTTCCGGTCCGCCCGCTAACCAGCTGGTTTTTCCCCGTAGGTTCCGGTGGCCCCGAGCTGAAAATATAGGAGGCCTGACATCGTCTCTGAAGGACTTGGCGTCGTCTGCTAGACGAGGTAAGTTCTCATTCAGGGTCGTCCGTCGTCCGTTGTCCGTCTGTATTGTCGCATGGCGTTGTTTCCGTTACGGAACGCCTTCTTCGACTGGCTTTCCAAATTCCAGGAGGCAAGGCTACGTCGCGCTGGGCTGCGTGGGTTCCGTGGTGGCACTCGATAGGTCTGAATGCTTTTCTTACTTGGTAATGAAGTCTGTAGGTGTCTGCCCTCTGATGACGTCTTTTGATAACGCGATGGTGTCTTCCCTTTGATGGGGCTCAATGAGACGACTGAGGGACGATTAAATTGTGTGATATAGCCCGACCTCACCCCGCTCTATGATGAAGTCTGGATGACGGATGCTGTCCCCGCGGAGCGAATTCAGACGGCTGGGAAACCCCGACGGCGGCGGCGGCGGCAGAATGACGCAGTTTGAACGTCGTTCCGACGCCCGGGTCATCAACCCGGCCGGTCGGGCGCGTTGACCCGTGGCCACTCGCCGCGCGTCGCGAGACGTTTCGCCACGTTTCGCAGTGTCTCCGCCGCACTGTGGTGGGGTTGGCTCGCTTCATCGCGATATACCAACACATTGGGAAGACCTATGACAGCGTGATGGATAAACGCGCGGTAGCTCGGGGAGTTATGAGGTGGATTAATTTGGCGGATCTGAACAGGAAGCCCGTGAGGTCGTGCACCGTCGGGCGCGGGGCCGCGGCGAGACTGGGGGAGATCGATACAGGGGAGAGTGACACCCCCTGACATGTTCCGACCTGTTACAGCCGCGAGGAGGGAGGGGGGAGGGCCAAAGTTGGGCCTAGACTCTAGAGGGAGTGATCTACTTGGCTTTCGCAGTGTCGAGAAGCTAGGCCGGACGGCCAAAGTTTTGAAGCCTAATTTTTCACTGGATCTTGCGCATGGAATATGTTGATGTTTCTTACCCGTTAGATACTGCACTGTGCACTATTGAATTATTCATCTCCTATCATACCCCGCCTTGCTTTACTTTCATCGTAAACCGCCTCCCAGCATTATTATTTCCTTCAAATCTCTCCAGCATCCTCAGCCCTTCACCTTGGCCGTTTCGCGCCATTTCTTCACCGCCCGCGTCCGACCTCGTTGGCGCCACATTCAAATGCCCTGTGTGCCTCCTCCTCCCTCCCTCCGCCCACCACGCGGCATCTGAGCGCGGAGGTGGCCCGCGGCGATGGCCCGCCTCTCGGAGCAGTAAACAGGCTACCGCCGGCCGTGTGCCGACGCTGTTTGCCACATCACGCATTCCCGGCCCCGGGATGCAGGTGTTTTCACGAGGAGAATAGTGGTGCACAGGCTTCTGCCGAGGCTAGAGCTGGGGCATTGTTTACTTCCGAAGTTAGAGCTGGCTTATGGGCAATTAACTCACGTGGTCAAACCTGGCTCATGTCTCACGGGTATTCCCGGGGCGTTAGAGCTTGCGGGCGGCTTTCTCGCGAGGTCGGAGCTGGCGCACTGTGGCGTGTCTTCATTTTTTTTTTGAAAAAGTGAAAACGAGATGGGCTGTTGCTGCTCTCCGTATTGGTTGGAACGGCTTGGGCGTTGGACGGTGCGAGCGTCCACTGTCCGAGGTGTCACGTACTATGGACTCTATGAGCCTCTGTCCAGACGACTGTGAAATGGCCATCGAACTGGCCACCGACTGTGAGATGGCTACGCTGAATGTGACAGCCCCGAACTTTTCTGGCGTTTGAAAGTTTTATGGAGTCGTGCGCCAGATCCGGGATGCATCGGTAGTCGATATGTCAATAGAAGTCGAGTTGAGATGGAGCGGACTGGGCTTTGCTCACAGTGAGGTAGTCTGGTTGAGGTGTCTTCCACCACTGAGGAGTAATAGCTTGATTTGGGGCTCGAATAGAGGGAGCGGAGGATGACCAGCACGAGGAGGGAGGGAGGAACAGAGGGGTGGGAGGAGACCCGAGTCGTGGCGCGGTTGACGACCCGGGTCCAGGGGAGGGGACCGGGCTTCGGCCGAGGCGAGATAAGACACGCACAGTACACAGGCCGCAAAACAGGTCGGGCAGTCCAAGGCGCGCGCTCAGAGGCGGCGGACAGTGCGGAAGGGTGGAAACGAAGCGACAGGCTGTGGAAAACGATCGTGCGGTCGCAGCGGTGACGGACAAAGCGAGAGAGTGGGAATCGAGCGTCGAGCTAAGCGCTGTTAAACGAGCGAGCAGGAAAAGTAGAAGGCCGGGAGACAGGTTTGTGGAGCGACAGAGTACCTGGTGCTCAGCAGAGGGGGACCAAGGGAGACGGACATGGCCGGTAAGTCAGGCTAGCGTGCTAGCGATACTAGTCATATAAGGAGCCTGCTGCCTGCATGGCTGACTCGCCGAAAAGTCAAGCGAATGGATTATGCTGATGCTGTGAACGAATCAATACCAGTGGGATAGACCGTTGTGCAGAGACGCACATCGCAGATGTGTGTGTCCAGAGTCATTGATAGTGAACAACTGATACAATACCACCCGCTCCATCTGGGTATGAATGTATATACCGGCTCGTTGTCCATGTCACAGTAACACAGAGCGGAGAACCAACATGTCTGAACCATGTTGACCCAGTTAAATCCGCTGTTCGTCAGGTACGACAGAACCGTACCGACGCTGCTTGTACACATGGCTGAATCGTGTGGGCTCATTAATGCGCCTGGTATGCCTGACCCATACCGGTGCAGAGCAGCAACAATCAACATGCATGAACCATGTAGACCCAGTTAAATTCACTGTTCGTCGGGTACACGGGCTCATTTGGCGACCGGTTGGCCTGACCCATATCGCAGTAAAACTCGCTGTACATACGTCAGATATGCCTGAACCATATCGACGCACCGCCAAGCCACACATGCCTGAACTATGTGGGCTCATTTATGCGCCGGGTACGCTTGCACCGTATCGGTGCGGCAATGCAACATGCCTGATTCATGTTATTGTTGACAGAGTAAAACTCGCTGTTCGTCAGATATGCCTGAACCATATCGACGCAGCTTCAAGCCACACATGCCTGAACCATGTGGGCTCATTTATGCGCCGGGTACGACTGCACCGTATCGGTGCGGCAATTCAACATGCATGAATCATGTTGACACAGTAAAACTCGCTGTTCGTCAGATATGCCTGAACCATATCGACGCAGCGCCAAGCCACACATGCCTGAACCATGTGGGATCATTTATGCGCCGGGTACGCCTGCACCGTATCGGTGCGGCAATGCAACATGCCTGATTCATGTTGACAGAGTAAAAGTCGCTGTTCGTCAGATATGCCTGAACCATATCGACGCAGCGCCAAGTCACACATGCCCGAACCATGTGGGCTCATTTATGCGTCGGGTACGACTGCACCGTATCGGTGCGGCAATGCAACATGCATGATTCATGTTGACACAGTAAAACTCGCTGTTCGTCAGATATGCCTGAACCATATCGACGCAGCGCCAAGCCACACATGCCTGAACCATGTGGGCTCATTTATGCGCCGGGTACGCCTGCACCGTATCGGTGCGGCAATGCAACATGCATGAATCATGTTGACACAGTAAAACTCGCTGTTCGTCAGATATGCCTGAACCATATCGACGCAGCGCCAAGCCACACATGCCTGAACCATGTGGGCTCATTTATGCGCCGGGTACGCCTGCACCGTATCGGTGCGGCAATTCAACATGCATGAATCATGTTGACACTGTAAAACTCGCTGTTCGTCAGATATGCCTGAACCACGTCGATGCAGCGCCAAGCCACACATGCCTGAACCATGTGGGCTCATTTATGCGCCGGGTACGCCTGCACCGTATCGGTGCGGCAATGCAACATGCATGAATCATGTTGACACAGTAAAACTCGCTGTTCGTCAGATATGCCTGAACCATATCGACGCAGCGCCAAGCCACACATGCCTGAACCATGTGGGCTCATCTATGTGCCGGGTACGCCTGCACCGTATCGGTGCGGCAATTCAACATGCATGAATCATGTTGACACAGTAAACTCGCTGTTCGTCAGGTATGCCTGAACCATATCGACGCAGCGCCCCGCCTGACTAAGATGGAGCCAATGACGCTATTCGTTGGGTGTCGGGTGACGTCACCAGAACAAATGCACACATCAAAGCATTGTCGCTGTGATGGTCGCTGGGGAGTGCCAGCTGTACTTCCGCGGACGGGGCTCCCCCACCCATTCCGCTGCGCGCAACCACCGGTCGGGCGGCCAACACTCGGCCGTCAGCAGTAATAGAGCCGTTACGTCACGTCGTGACACCGCCGCCGGGCGTCGCGGCGTGTAAAACCACCGCCAGTTCACGAGGGGGAGGGGAAGGCGCGGGAGGGACGCAGGGGTCACCTCAGTCGGGCCAAGTGCTTGACCTTTTGTCCGATAACACGGGGGAGGGACCCACGACTCCAGCAGTCGGTCGGGAGATATTTGCACAGGATAACCCCTCACGCAGTCAGGGAGGACAATGGACGCAGCGCCCATTTAAGCGCCCGGAATGCCTGACCCATATCGGCGTGAGGAAGCGATTGATCATGCATGAACCATGTTGACCCAGTTCAATCACTGTTCGTCGGATATGACTGAATCTTACCGACACGGCTTACAAGCAACACGCGCCCAAAATCACGTGAGCTCATTTGTGCGCCCAGTCTGCCTAACCCATATCGGCGTGAGAAATTGATCTACCAAACATGCATGACCCAGTTTGACCCAGTTAAATTTACTGCTCGTCAGGTATGCCTGAACCGTACCCCGGTATGCCTGAACCTTATCGGCGTGAAGAATCGATTGGCCAAATATGCGTGAATCATGTTCACCCAGTTAGAATTCGCTATCCGTCAGGTATGCCTGAACCGTACCGACGCGGCTACAAGATTTGAATTACGTGGGCTCATTCATGCAACCTGCCGCACCGATGCGGTGCAGGATACCCGGCGCATAAATGAGCCCACATGGTTCAAGCATGTGTGGCTTGGCGCTGCATCGATATGGTTCAGGC